CCACGGGGAAACACAACCCTACTGACACGGGTGTTTTTTTAATTAAAAAACAAAGCCAGATACGTGCTTTTTACAAGGGTTACCCCCTACACACGACAACGTAGAAAGGCGAAAAATGAAGACATGCACAACGCCAACCAGATATCTGGGGGCAATATCTACGCCCACAAATGCGACTTAGGACAGGAGTGTCGGAGGGAGAAGGTGGGTTCGCGACAAGGGGAATGATTCCCCAAGGAGATAAGGGCGTGGCAAGAACACCCAGCAATATCGTCCCCCACACGGAACGTGGCCATCCTGGGAACCAGCAGTGGCCATAGGCCTGGCGAGGAGCAGATTGGACGCGCGCCCCTCAGTCACTGATGGACGCAGGGGGCAGCGACCCTTGGAGATCAGACGTTCGGCGCACGAGCTTGGACCCGGAGGAGGATGGAGAGCTCAGCGTGCAACCCGTGGAGGGGATGCATTTTTCCAGGCACCCGGGAGACATCATCAAAAACACAGTGGACCAAAAACGAAGTCTGAACGAACGTCCGAGGATCTTGAGCATATAGATTATATTATCTGGCTACAGTGCAATTGGGTTAGAAATCAATTTTTTAACAGAGAGAACCAAAACCCCATGAATTTCAAAATTTTAAAACCCAGCAGCAACACAGCGAGTTCAGTGGGGAGAAGGTGCAGAGCAGAAGGGCGGAACCTGGGTGATCCCCACGGAACTGGGAACCACGACGCCGTGGGCGCAGAGACGGGCGGGCGGGCACCCGCAGGCCCCGCCCACCACGTGGACCCGCTCCGGTGGGCGGTGCCCCGGCCTGTTCGCGTGGCCCCGCCCCCCAGACAGGAGGCGCCCCCGCGGGGAGCTCCCCGCCTCGCTTCCCTCACCTACGGGGGGAGCAGCGGCTGCGGCCGGCAGGCTCGGGGCTTCAGAATATACTCCCGCTGTGTTTTCTTCGTGTGGCGAAAGAGTCACAACATAAAACTTCCTGCTTTCACCGTGTTTAAGGGGCAGCTCGGCGGCGTTAAGCGGTCCCATTGCTGTGCAGCCACCATGCCATCCATCTCCAGGACTTTGTCATCTTCCCAAACTGATACCCCATACGAACTAAACACGAGCTCCTCCTCCCCCACTCCAGCTGTTTTTAATGCTGACAAATTATTAAACGGGTGGGAAGGAAGTCTCTCTTCGGTTCTAACCACTGAAAAATACCTTCTTGAGCACTGGGGCTTCAGGGGTAAAAGCGACCTAGGACAACGCCGGCCACAGAGCCGGCTTCTCCCCGGAGCGCTCGGCGACGCCGCCCTGCCCTGGCGCCCGCCCAGCGTTCCGCGCCGGGAAGTCCTCCCGTGCACATCTCAACGGCGCCCCTTGGTGGAAGGACTTGGCAAGCTGTTCTGGGTTCACGTTCAAAGCATTGCTCTGAATAAGAAAATAAACTGAATTTCGCCGGTAAAACCCTGTCGCTCGGGCTGGTTCCTCAAACTGAGGCAGCATCCAGGGAGCAGGGAGCGCGCTGGAAAGCGCAGGGCACGGCCCGAGGGCGCGGTCTCAGGTGGCCTGAGTCCATGGCCTGCACGCTCTCCAGGGTGCTGGACCCGCGGCCTCATCAAGACCGCGGTCCGCCCGTGGGCTCCACCGGCCCTCTGGGGCGGCAGGCGCCAGGAAAGGGCGGGCGCCCACATGGGAGAAGGGCCTCTGACAGTGACATTCCTTGTGGCGGCATTTTCTGCAGTGACAATGCTCTATGACGCTCTCCACAGCCAATGCCTTTTCTGGTGTCAACGTTCTAATCTCTCCCTTCCCAGTTGTGTGGCAGCGGCGCAGGCAAACCGTCTCCGCCCTCAGAAGCGCCCACACTGAGGGCACCTCAGTGAGACGCTGGCCTTGAGGGTGACAGCCGGGTCCGCCCTGAGCAGGGCCTGCAACACCGACACTCCCAGGCCTGGGGCGGGCTAACACACTGCCCCCCCGCACTCGCAGCCTGACCCCCACCGCAGCCGCAGACACGCCTCTGAAGGGCGCTGTATCTCAGGTTCCCTGGCCGCTCTTCCCCAGGTGGCCGTGGCGCTGCGTACCTTCGAACCTTCGGTGGCTGTCGTAGTCCTCGGAGCAGGCCACCTCGACGAACCTTCCAGGCAGGACCTCGCCGCGGTGAGCCAGCACCTCGGTGACACCGTCGTCGCCCCCCAGGCTGCCCCAGAGCAGGAGCGCAGCGAGCGTGGCACAGGTGCCCAGGGCGGCAGCCCTCAGCCACTTCCTCCGCACCTCCCGCGGCGCCCGGGCGCCCTTCACGCTGAGAACAGAAAACAGCCACAGTCACCCACGTGCAGCTGTGTGGGCTGGCACCGCAGACCACGTCCACACCTGGTTGCAGCCTTGACCTGTCCCTACACCCGCCGCTGTCCCTCAGCCCGGAGGCACCTGGCAGGTGGGGAGGACACGGGGGCTCGTGTCCCTCCCTGGACCGGGCAGGGCTCACTCTGTCCCGCACAGGCAACAGGAAGAGCTGCTGCGGACACCTGTTTTGGGAGTCCTACGAGGAGCCTGCGGTGCTGCTTGCATTGCCTGCACCTGGGAAGGACCATCACACGCGTGGGCCCTGACGTGCATGCACACACACACACACACACACACACACCGTGACCTGAGTCGGGGGGAACTCAAACCCACGTAACCAGACGGCAGAGAAAACGAGCACAACAGGGACGACCCGCAAGCAGGACGCGGCCCACACGCCGAGCTGAGCCGCGTGGGGGTCTGTGTGTGTGTCTGTGGTGCACACGCGCACGCGTGTCTGCACGTGCGTGTCACTGTGCGTTCTGTTGTCTGGGAAAGACGTGGAGGCTTCGGAGCTTGGTGAACAGACAGAAAGTGAGAGAAGAGATCAGGACATCCCTTCTCCAAGCGCATAAGCAATTCCTGGAAAGCAGGACACCTGCCTTCTGTTCTTATGTTTCTCACACCTCACGCCGCTAAATCAATCATTCCAATGAAATAAACCCCAAGGAGGCGGGCACAGTGCGGCCAGACCCCGTTGGGTGAACACACAATCATTTCAAATGGCATTTATAGATGTGGGGGGGGTCCTGCCCCGCCCACAAAGACCAGCCACCCACAGAACTGCTGTCCAGCCTCCAGCCCACCCAGTCTCCACCGATTAGATGGGGGTGGACCCCTGCCTCCAGTGAGCCCATCCTTTTTCTGCCCAAGAATTCAGACCAGGCGGGGAGAGGGCCGGCCCGCCTCGGCGGCAGGCAGCTGAAACCCTAGTTGTAGGCACAGAGCTGTGGGCCTCACGCTCCTGGAACAGCCTGGCTGCTGGGACAGGGTGGAGCCGGAGGTGCCTCGGAGGTGCCACGGGAGGCGAGAGTGAAGAAGCAGCCTCTTTGGCCAGATTTGGATACGACAGTGCCCTGGGGGTCTGTTCAAAATAAGCCCCCTTTTGTGAGGTAAGCTGCCAAAACAGAAGGAGGCTCCCTTTTCAGGCCTTGGAGCAAGGTCCACTGGCCCATGGGGCAAGCACCACAGGACCGTCGTTTGTCCAGGGGTGATTACAACGCCCCCGGCTCCGCCGGCTCCGAGAGCTTTAGGCAGCATCCCTTCGAAGGCAGCGTGATGAGATGGTCACGTTCATTCATCACTGGGCCGTCCAACTGGGAGCCCTCCAGTGCACGGCCCTCAGGGAAGCACACAGGGGCCAGCCGGTGGAGCCGCGTGGCCCCTGGACCCCTGGGGACTCCCGGCATGGAGCCCTCGGGACACACGAGGAAGAGGAATCAGGGAAGGTTTCGGGAGGGGAGCCCCCAGCCCCAGCCACCGGCTCAGCGTCGGGGCCGGCTACCTGGCCCGAGGGCGCCGGCGGGGCGGGGTTCTGCAGGCACCACCCATAGGCGGCCCAGCCCACGCCAGGGCAGGCCACACCCACACGACGGCCCGCCCCCACAGGGCCACGCCCCCACCTCTGGGCGGGCTACGTTTACGCGGCCGCCGCGCTCGGGCCACGCTCTCGTCCCGGCCCGCGGTCCCGCAGCCCTTGCCCTTCCGCGCAGCCCCTCACCTGCTCGGGCGCCTGCGCTCGGCCGCCCCGCTGCCCTCGGGCGCCTTGGGCGCGCCTCTCCGCTGAGGCGCCATCGGGCCCGCTCGCTGCGGAGTCGGGCCGAACGCGGGAGCCGCCCGAGCTGGGACGCGCTTCGCGAGAGGTAGCGCGAGGCTGGTGCGGCCGGAGACGCGGAGCGACTCGCTCGGCCGTCGACTCCGGGGAGGGCGGCCAGACCCGAGCAATCGCAGGCCGAGCGCGGCTCACCTGGGCGCCCGCGCCGCCGCACAGCCCGCCCGCGGCTCCCGGCTCCCGGCTCCCCGCTCCCCACTCCCCGCTCCCCTCCTGGGGCGGGCCGAGCCCCGAGCCCCGGTCTGAAGCGCGTCCTCGCCCCGCCGCGCCTCCTCCCGGCGCCTCCGCGGCCCGCCTCCCGGGGTCCGTGCCGCACCGCAGAGCGTCTCGGTGCTCGGTAGGGTGTCCGAAGGCCCTCTGCTCTCCGTGCAGCCTCCGTGCGGTGAGCGAGGAGGGCGGGTGTGAGTAGCCTGATCAGGACGCCGATGATTCTGAATGAGCCGGGTTAACTAACAGTGAGGCTCATTCGTGAGGATTATATGTCGGAGGCGAGTAATTTACTGATGGGGGCGGGTAGGAAACCTCCTGGGATCCATTGGACTAAGGGAGAGCTCTGCCCCGCAGTTCTGAAACCGGGGACAAGAGTGCCACTGGAGGCGCCTCAGGGCCCGTGGTCACCTGCCCGGGAGCGCAGAACCAGCGACAAGGGCAGACCTACTTGTAGTCTGATGAAGAATAGTGACAGGGGACCCAGGTCCCTGAAACAATCTCATTTCTGTACACCTTGCAGGAGGGAATCAAAGCGAGGGCTCTGGCTCTCCTACCAGATGGGACTGACTTCCCGGGTCCCTTGGCGCGCTGGCAGGAGCTTCGGCCGCCAGCGACTATGATGTGTCTGTGGCAGGCGAGATGCCTCTGCTCCTTGTGCCCCAGTGTTACAGGAGTAACGGGATTTCTGTTTGCGTGTGAGACGCACACGTGACCAGTGCAGATTTTTCAGCTCAAAAATGTCTCTTTTACATTTCCAGATTTGGTTTGTAAGATTTTAAAACAATTCAGCTTTAAACGCATTGTGGTTTTTCATAATGCTTGTTTGTAAAACTCATCCACCCCTCCCTTGGTAACTTAGGGTGTTGCCTTAAGAATTCAGTCATAGAGATTGTCACGAATTTATAACAGATATAAAAAAAATAAGGTTTCACTCTTTCCCAGCCGCTTCGTTGCCTCCCAGATGCTCCCTTCACTGCCACGTGAACCGGTCTTCTGACCTGGAGGAAACGTTCGCAGTGTTGTCTTCTGCAGCTGCAGATGTACGAGCAAGCTGGCTTCCGCTCTGGGATGTAAATATTTTTCATGCCACCCAAAGCAAAGTGAAGTTGAAGATCAGCTTTCTACAGGGACATACCTACCGTGGGGCCTTAAATGCTGTGTGGAGAAGGTGCTGGCCTGTTGTCGCTGGCGCAGGGCAGATAGTTTCAGCGCATCTTTAAAGTAGGGAACTATCTTGCAGCCACTTGTGTTATAACAACCTGAGCCTTCTTACACGGAAACCAGCGCTGTTCTACTGGCGGGACAAACCCTCTACATGCAGAGGTCCCTCTGCTCCAACGTGGACGTTTTGATGTGTGTCCCGTTGGTGGAATGAGTTTCCTCCCGGTCAGTATCGGAACTGAAACAAGTCGGAAGCCTCTGCCCGCTCCTAACTCTGCATTTCTGTGCCAGGGAGAAGGGCCCGGACAAGAGATTTTTGTCGTGTGACTTCACAAAAAAAAGTGAGATGTCAGGCGCCTCGCCGTTTAAGATGCGGTTTGTTCACCTGGACCTTAAAGGAGCCCCGCCTAAGGTGTCGTACCTCTCGGAGGTAGGGAGGGGACCACTTTGGGTTTGGTCTCAAAGCTGTGAATGGTGTCCTGTAGAAACGTGCGCTGGGAACCTGCCCTGACACGGGACTGGAAGGAAGCCCAGCTCTGTGTGTAGTGGACAAGACCTGGTCCCCCAAATCCTTGAGGACAGGAATTCCTATCTTTTGAGATGACGGTGGAGCAATGGGGGAGGTCAGGGGAGGCAGCCCAGGAGGTGGCCGGCACCGCTGTGCCTCTCTGGTTCCGGCCAGGCGTGCGCCCCCACCCACAGCCCCGGCAGCGCCCCTGTTCCTGTGCTCAGAAGGCGGCTCCATGCCGCGTCCTGGCGGGTGAGCTGCCCCGGTGGCTCTCAGCCGCGCCCGGCTCGCCCCGCCCCCGCCCCCGCCCCCACCGCCCCAGCTCGGCCACCGGTCGGCTGCTGTCCAGAGGCAGCTGCTCTGGAGCGTGCGGTGCCCCCACCCCGGTGTCGAGCGTGTCACTGGGTTAGGGGGTTTGATTTGACACCCAGTTCACGTGCTGGGGTAACCGTTCGCAGGGAGAGCACGAATATCAACAGCGATCTGTGTCCACGAGGTGCAAAAGGCCCCCGTGCGGCCTGGGTGTCACCATCCTTCAGATGGTCCCTTTCTGTGTCACCCCTGCCGCCAGATTTTCCCTCTGTTCCACGCCCTGGGCGCCAATGGCCTCCTCATCGAGTATGAAGACACGTTTCCCTACGAGGGCCCCCTGAAGCTGCTGAGGGCCCCGCACGCATACAGGTAGCTGCGCCGCGAGAGCAGCTGCATGCAGAGAAAACGGGATGGGGGCGGCCCCCGGGGGGCGGGGGGACAGGGAGGACTGGACCGGAGTAGAACAACCCGTCTGTCTTCTTAAACACGCGTCTTGAGTTTTAAAAATAAGATGCGTTCCCAGTGGGGGCGCTGTGTTCTTGTCGGGGCAGATGTGAGGCGCAGAGAGCGCCTTTGGCAGGTGCCGTGCCGGGGAGGGGGCTGCCCCTGAGGCCTCGGTGGATCTTCCTGGGAAAGTGGAGACTCGAGGGAGAGGCTCAGAACCCCTGGCTGGGTTGTGTGGTCTGGGCGCGCCCCACCTGCTCCGAGGTTAAGGCGCCCATGTAAACCAGGAGCAAATGGCCCGAAGAAGAAAGAGCAAAGGACAGTGAGCAGATGATAGTAATACAAAGTTAAAACAACAATGAAATGCCATTTTGGCTACTAAATTGATGCATCCTTTAAACAACAGAACTGGGACACTCTGGTGTCCGCAAGGGCGAGGAAAAGCAGAGCCTGGCCTTTCGGGGCTGTGGCTCTAGGTGTCAGGGCTCCCCAAAGCGTTGGGCCCCCTCCCCCCCGCCGGCCCCGGCGGGGTCACGTGGCCAGAGGGTTGCGTGGTGGCAACACCCCCCAAGGTTTTCCTTCTCTTTATGCTCCTGTTTTTCCTACAGTGAACTAGTTTTGTTCGTGTTTTTAGTGAAAAAGGTGCCTGGGTTTCTGAGAAGCTTGAGAAAGGTGTATTTAGGACCAAAGGAGAACTTCGTACGTCAGTACGTTTTTAGAACTGATTAATCTAAGAGATGGTTTAGACACGTAGAGCAACTGGAAATCGGTTTCTTACGAGGTAAATTCATTCATGAGTGACTACGCGTGGAGGAGGGGCCGTCGGCCGAGAGCACCTGCCGGGCTCCCACCCAGGGCGGCCTCCCCACCCGCAGGTGTGCCGCTCACCGCACGGGGCGGCCCGTCCACCAGAGGGAGCCTTTCTTTCCTCCGTTGAAGGAGTCCCCGGCTTCCTCTGTACAGCCCAGAGCGCACACTTCCGGCGGTGCCCGCCTGGCCTCTGTCCCGCTCTCCGTGGCCCGTGACGGACGGACAGACGGGCGTGGCTGTGCTGCAGCAAAACCCCCTGTGGACGCTGAAATGCTTTTCTGAGTCATTGTGAACGTAGCCCCGTCCTCAGGCTGCAGCTGCACGGCAGCTGCCACCCCCGCGCGTGGACCTCATTCCTCGTGTGGCCGTTGCTGGTGGAAGGACGTCCGTGTCCTGTGGTCTGGGTGGGAATGGCTGGGAAAGAGCCAGCTGTCACCAGAGGCTGTGGCAGCACCGCTTCCACGCATCCTGGGGCGGGCACCTCTGCCGCCCTTGGACACCTGCTGGGCTTCTGGAGCCCCCAGCCCGCTCGTCTCCCTGGAGCCTGACGCGGAGGCACTGCGGGGGCCGGCGGGAGCCGGCGCGACCTCTCGGGGTGACATTGTCTCTGCAGCCCCTCGGAAGTCAAGGAGATCCTGCATCTGGCTGCCCAGAACGAGCTGGAGGTCATCCCCTTGGTGCAGACGTTCGGACACATGGAGGTCAGCCGGGGGGGGGAAGGGGTGTCGTGGGGCGCGCAGGTATGGGGGCCGGAAGCAGCTCAGTGCTGCAGGGACAGGTGCTCGGAAGCCCCTGCGAACAGCTGGAAAGTGCGGCGCGGTGGGCCAGGCTCCCCTCCCTCCCCTGACGGGGGGAGAGCAGGGCACGGGACGCCCCGGAACCGGGGGGGGGGGGGCCTGGCAGTTTGCTTCCTAATTATGCTCATCAAAGTGTGTGACTGAGCAGCAGCCAGAAAAGGGGAGACGCGTTCTGTTGTCTCTGTCCGTGTCCTGTCCTCGCTTCACGTGGGAAGCACGCTCTCACGTGGCCCTCAGACAGTTCCCTTCCTGTGTCCGTGGGAAGCAGATGAGACACAGGTGGGCTCCATGCTCCCCTCTAGCGGATGCACCTGTGAGAGCTGCTAACTGGCAGCCCGCTCGCGGTCTGGAGCCTGGCGCTGGGACCCTCGCCCGTGCCCGGGCGCCCCCTGGCCCGCGTCCTCCTCGGGGCTCTGCTCTCTGGTCCTCGTCGCTTTCCACCTCCGGGCCCCCGAGAAGGTGGCTTTTGCCAAATGGTCTGTCTGGTTCTTGTTTGGGGGGCGAGTCACCGACCTCGTCGTGCGCCCAGATCGAGCAGTCCGCCCAGCTTGTCACCCTGCCTGGGAAGGGGGCCCGTCTGCTCGCTCCCCCTCTGCCCAGCTGGGGAGCCCGGTCCCCTGTGGGGACTGGGCGCAGGCTCGGCCTGTCGGGACCCAGGCGCAGGCGTCTGGTCGCGGGGCTCCTTTCTGGCGGCCCCTGGCGGCCCTGCCCCGGCCCCCAGCCCCCCCGGCCCCTGGCCCCAAGCTCCCTGCCGCCCTCTGCCCACAGTTTGTGCTGAAGCACGAGGCCTTCGCGCACCTGCGGGAAGTGGCGCTGTTCCCCAACACCCTGAACCCGCATGAGGCCGAGGCCCTGGCGCTGGTCGCGGCCATGGTCGACCAGGTCATGGAGCTGCACGCGGGGGCCCGGTGGCTCCACATCGGCTGTGACGAGGTGGGTGCCCGCGTCCTGCCTCCCGCTCCCCTTGTCCACAGCGGTCCCGTGTCCTTGCGTCAAGGCCCCGCCTCCCCCTTGGGGCTGCTGCTCCTTCCAACAGAAAAGCAGCCCACGTGGCAGAGGACGGGGGTCGGGGGGCCGAGGAGGTGGTCCTGGGTGAGGGTGTTGGTGTCGCTAATGGGGACCTCGCCCAGGTGGACCTGTGACACGTGGGTCCTGGCACCCGGGGTCAGAGGAGGGAGGGCTGGGCTCAAACAGGGGGGCTGCCCACGCGCCCCAGCTCCCCCCAGAGCGGGATTCCTGCCCCCGGGGCTGGCAGTGGGTGCGGGTTTGAGCTGGTTCCTTTTTCTGACTGAGGAAATGTCAGTGGGGGGGCCACGGAGCTCTGGTGGGGAAAGCCCGCCGGGGGGGGGGCGGGGGCGCTGGCCGCCCGCCCTCTCCCCCGCCCGCCTTGTCTGTCTGCTTCACTGTCTCCCGAGGAGCTCAGACGGCCCGGAGGCTGCTGGGCCAGCCGAGCATGCAAGGGGCTTTCCACGCATCGCAGCTCCAGAATCGTTCCTTTCCTTCAAAAGAAATCCCTTTTTTGGTAGTAAAATACAACACAAAATTTACCCTTCTAACCATGTTAAAGTGTACAGTTCAGTCATAGATTCTAAGTATTGGGTTGGCCAAAGAGATGGTTTTTTCCTTCCTGTAAGTGGCTTAGTCGCACTTAGTTGTCTTTAACTTCATTCACAACAGTTCTGTTAGATTGCATCGTGACAGCTGTCCTTAGCAGTGTGCATTTTTTTTTAAAAACTTATACCAAAATTGGTGAATTTTTGTGTAGCCATTTTAATATTGGAGATGGAAGAACATACGCAACATTTTTGGCATTTTGTGCTTTATTATTTCAAGAAAGGTAAAAACACAACTGAAACACAACAAACATTTGCGCCGTGTGTGGAGAAGGCGCCGTGACTGGCCGAACGTGTCAGAGGCGGTTTGTGAAGTTCCGGGCTGGAGACCTCTCGCTGGACCGCGCCCCACGGGCAGACCAGCTGAAGTTGATAGTGATCAAATCGAGAACAATCCATGTCATACTAAGTGGGAGACAGCTGACGTACTCAAATACCCAAATCAGTGAAGTTATCGGTGAAAATGAAAAATTCTTCTTTTATTTCATGGAAAAAACTAATGGACTTTTTGGCCGACCCAATACACTTGTGATGTTGTGCCACCGTCGCCCCATCCGTTGGACCTTCCTCCCCCCAGAGGGAACCCCGCGCCCCTCAGGCAGGCAGCCCCCTCCCCGCCCCGGCCGCCTCTCGCCCCCTTCACGTGTGTGGATTTGCGGGTTCTGGACGTGTCCAAAGTGGAAGTCCGCAGCGCGCGGCCCTTTGTGCCCGGCGCTGTCCTGAGCGGGGTGTCCGGGCTGCGCTCGCGTGCGGCCGAGGGACCGCCCGGTGTGTGGAGAGGCGTGTGCTGCTGGGAGGCACTGGGGCTCTCTCCCTCCAGAGCTGCTGAGAAGGGGACTCACAGGTGGGAGTTTAGGTCTCAGCGAGGAAGGCGGGGTCCCCTTCCGTCACCTGTCGTTCTGCACACGCCGCCGCCCCGGGGGCTGCTCGGCCACGGCCTGAAGCCCCGTCGCTTCCGCGACCCCGTCTCCCGGTCCCCTTCCGTCCAGGTCTATTACCTTGGAGAGGGCGAGGCCTCCAGACGGTGGCTGCAGCAGGAGGAGAACAGCAAAGCCAAGCTGTGTCTGTCGCACATGAGGGCGGTGGCCAGCCACGTGCGGGCCCGGCACCCCGCCGCGACGCCCCTGGTGTGGGACGACATGCTGCGCGACATCCCCGAGGCCCAGCTGTCAGGTGCGCCCGTCCGCGGGGGGCGAGCGAAGGGCCGCAGCCGGTCTGTCCCGTGGGAGCCGCTGTTCTAACGGCCCCGCACAGGGCGTGCGAGGACCTTGCAGGAGGACGGGGGTGATGGATCCGCACTGGGCGCGCGCGGCCATCAGGAGGGGTGGGGGCGGGCGGGCCCCGGGACAACCCGTCCTTCCGGCCCTGGCCCCTCCCGGCCACCGCGGCTGGTCCGGCAGGGGCACTGGCCGTCTCCCACGAGGGAAGCAGCAGCCTCTCCAGCCCCCGGGCTCACTCTGCCGGAGGCTTTGGGCTGAGACGGGAGGTTGGCATGGTCGCCCCAGCCTCCCTGGGGCTGGGATCCAGCGCCCCGGTGCCCTTCCTTCTGCACAGTCCAGCACCCGCATGTGGCCACGTGGGTTTAATTAGCATTCATCGCAGTTAAACCCGCGCAGCGGCCTGTTCCCCCTGCGCCTGGGCCTGCTGCCCGGGCAGCCTGCAGATGGAGCGGCCCCCCTCGCTGGAAGCCCTGGACCCTGGCCCTGCCGGAACTCCAGGAGCCCGGTCATTTCCATGGCTGATGGCTTCCTGGACGTGGCATTTCCGCCCAAAGCAGCGCAGTGTGCAGTCTGTCCCAGAAAAGATGGCTTGTGTTCCGTTTTCATGCAAGAGCGTGGGCCGAGGGGCGTTTCGGGCGGGCTCGGCGCTCACGGCCTCTCCCCGCCCCCAGCGTCAGGGCTGCCGCAGCTGGTGGAGCCGGTGCTCTGGGACTACGGGGCCGACCTGGACGTCGGTGGCAAGGGTCAGTACCGTGTTGCTGGGGGGTCCCTGTCACCTGAGTGCCCAGCGGGGGGGATGGAGGGCGTCCGTCACCTACTCAGCATCTGTGACGGGCCTCTGCCTCACCGCGGGCCCCTCTGCACAGGAGCCTCAGCCCCAGGGAGCGGCCCTCAGTGTGGGTCCTGGGCCGGGCTCTCACGGGACAGCCTGTCCCAGTGGACATGTGACCTGGGGCCACCTGTGAGCGGTGGCGTCTGCCCTCACCGTGCTGGGCGGCCTCTGGGCCGGGCGGGTGTGGGCTCCCGTGGTTCTCGTCTGCGCAGCGTGGGGTCGGCCTTGCGGTTCCGGCCTGGTGGCCGCAGCCGCCTCGGCCCAGGCCCAGCTCTCACGCTCTCGCTCAGCCCTCCTCATGGAAAAGTACCGGGAGTGCGGCTTCACCCGGCTGTGGGCCGCCAGCGCCTTCAAGGGGGCCACGGGGCCGAACCAGGCCCTGCCCCCCATCGAGCACCACGTCCGGAACAACGTGCAGTGGCTGCAGGTGGCGGCCTGTGGGCCAGCGGACATGCTGCGGGGCGTCGTCCTGACCGGCTGGCAGAGGTGATGCCGCGGGCTCCTGTCCTGGGCCGGGAGGCGGCTCCCGTGGCCACACCTCCCTGTTCGCAGCCCACCCTCTGGGCCTGAGACCTTCCCCGTGGGCGGGAGGGACGGGCGGGTGCTGTGGGGACCGTGGGGGTGGGGAGCCTGGGCCCCTCGCACCCCGCCAGCCGCCCCCCACTCTCCACGGGGCCCGTGTCCTCCTGTGGTCTGCAGCCTCCACGAGGCCACAGCACGTGGCTCTCGCACATTGGGAACCGGGACAGGCCGTGGCGCTTCAGGATTTCGTACCACTCGGAAATCTGAGCTAGGAGTGGACCCCGTCCTGGTCAAGTCCTGGCCGCAGTCCTGCCATGCCGGGGGCAGGGGACCGCGGCGGCCGGGTGGCTCCCGCGCCCAGGGCAGCTGGAGGCAGGGCCTCCGAGGGGAGCGCCACCCTCGCTCTGAGTCCAGGGGTGTCCGCAGAGCGCTGGGCTGGGCCGGCGGGGCTGGGCCGGCGGGGCCCGCGCGGGAGGGAGCAGCGGCCCCCAGGCCCTCCTGTGGTGCGGGGGGGGTGGGCGGCTTGCGTCCGCCCTTCAGGGGTGGGGGCTGAGCGCCTCCCCCTGGACGCAGGTACGACCACTTCTCTGTGCTGTGTGAGCTGCTGCCCGTGGGGGTCCCGTCCCTGGCCGCCTGCCTGCAGTGTCTGCTACACGGTACAGCGCCCTGCTCTCCTGGGAGGCGGGGGGTGGGGGCCGGGGAGCAGGGCCGCGACCTCGGGGCAGGACTGCGGTCTCCTCACAGTTCAGGGGCGACGTGCGCGTTGCGGCTCAGCCACGCCCTGCCCGCTGCCAGCCCAGGTTTTCAAGGCTAAGCCTGAGTCAGGCCAGGCTGTGCGGGGAATGTGCCCCCTGGACCCAGGGAACCATAAAAAGAAACCCCTCGTGTGTCGGACGCGGAGAGAGCCTCTGCCTTTGCTGCAGGGCCGCCCCGGGTGCCGGGTGCCGGGTGCCGGGTGCCGGCCGCTCCCGCGGGGGCCCTGGGGGCGTGTCCAGAGCCTGGAGCCACCTGTCAGCAGTGAGGGCTGGTCACCACACTGCGTGCATTTGCACCCCGACACCCAGGGGGAGTCACACAAGGACGCGTGTGGTGTTGGCGCAGAGGTGTGTCCGGGGACACGGACGAGGGCCGGGCCCAGGGGCGCAGCCGCCTAAAGAGGCCTGTGCTGTGCCCGCAAGACGGAGGGTCAGGACCTCGTCGGACAGCCAAGCGTAGGCGGCGCCGGCCGAGCCCGCCCCAGGGCCGTCCAGGCAGCTGCCGTCACCCGCGGGGACTGCGAGGTCTGTGCGCAGGGCAGCCCCGGCCTGGCTGGGTCATTTCTGTTGCCTTGGGGCCCGGGACCCCGGGGGAGGCTGGACGGGCTGGTGGCGCCCGATTCAGTGTCTCGGGGCTGCGGCCCTGCTGGTGACGCGGGTCTTAGTTCTCTTTTGTAATTTTTAACTTAACACACACGTTTTCGTGTGTTTCATAAGCAGCAGCGGGGTCTCCCTGGGGTTGGCTGAGGGCCCCGAGGCCTGGGCAGCAGGGCACGCACAGGGCCCAGGCCTCCGCCGCCTGCGGAGGCCCCCCAGCCCCTTGGTCTCCGGTTGGTTTCAGGGGGCTTCGCTGAAGACGTTAGAACAAGAGTGGAGACTCTTCTCGGGATCCCGAACCTGGAAATGACCGGTTTTACAAGGTGATGCCCCGCCCCAGCTCTGCCCCGCCCCAGCTCTGCCCCGCCCGTCCCACGGGCCCCCCCTCAGCGTCCGGGTTCTCTGTGCAGCGAGGGGGCCGGCGCCTTCCCCGGCAGCGACATCCTGGCCCTGGTCACGCAAGTCGGCCTCCACCTGTGCAGCTCCGTGGACGAGGTGCTGCAGAGGGACCGGTGAGTGGGGCACAGGGGAGGAGGCCCTCCCCCTCCCCCCGCCTGGGCAAGGACCTGCCCATCCTGCATCAGAACCTTCTGGGGGCAAACAGCTTGCAACATTTCTGCCAGACTCTAACTTACTGCCCCCCCCCGCTGCCCTGCCCCCTTCCTTGGGGCCCACCCGTGGGTCTGCCCCCAGGTACGTGACAGGCTGGTTCAGCCCCTACCATCGCAGGCGGAAGCTCATCCACCCGGTCATGATCCAGCACATCCGGCCCCGGGTGCTCAGGTAGCCCGCCCCTCCCACAGGGCCCAGCTGTGGGCTGCGCGTCCTCGGCCGCACGGTGGCAGCTGGGGCCAGCGGCTGCGACCAGCTTTCTGGGTAGCGCAGGTGACTCAACTTTGCAGAGTTGGCTGTGCCGCCGAACATCAGGGAACCCAGGGTGTTCCTAGCCTGAAAGGGGGAGGGTGACCACAATGACCTGGGCAGGGTCCAGGCTCACCGGGGAGCCAGGCTGCCCGGGCCGCTCCTGGGCCCTCCACACCTTGAGCCCGAGTCCTCCGGGCACCGTGGGGCCGGGCCCTGCCAGCCAGCCGCCCCGGTGCTCTCCCGCCCCCGGCTGAGCCGAGGCCAACGACGGGCCCGCGCCAACCCAAGCCCTGCCGGCCTGTCGGAAATCGCAGCTCAGGTTCAGTTAAAACGTTAGCCTTGGATGCCAATAGCCCTGTTCTGGGGGTGGGAGAACAGGCACAGACCGCACTGCCGTGCGGGGCCCTCCCCAGCGGCTCACGGCTGTCTGGGCCCACAGCCTCCTGGCCAGGTGGAGCGCCCAAGCGCAGGAGCTGGAGACCGCCCTGCACCGCGTCTTCCACGAGGATGCCGTGGCCGAGTGGCTGGAGGAGAACGTGCAGCCCAGCCTGGGGCGGCTGCAGGCGCTGCTGCAGGACCTCGGCCAGGCCGCTGAGCCCCAGCCCGCACCGACTCCACCCCCGAGCACGGAGCTCTGGCTCTGACACCGGCCAGGACCCCGGAGGGTCCAGCGGCACCTGGCCCCACACCAGGCAGGCAGGCAGCACCCACCCTGTGCACGGTTATCACTGGGGCGAGAAAAGCAGAAAACATGGAAGGAGACACTCATGGGGACCTACGCACTCATCTGCACGTAGAACTCTAACTCCTGTGAAATAAAAAGGAAAGGAGGAGCTAGAAACTGCCCACAGGAGCGCAGCAGCCTCGCTTGCCCAGGGCTCGGCCGGGCTCCCTGCCGGCCCCAGCAGTGGGCAGGAGTGGGGGACAAGCACTCGGGGAGCACCTCACAGCCTTGGGAGGCACGTACTAGACGCAAGCCAATTACAGTGTTTTATACTTTATTTTAGAAAAAAAAGCATTTTGGATTTAACTGCTTGAAACCCTAACTTTCGCAGGCTTCAACGACCACATCCCCCCACAGGGCGGGCCGGCAGCCCCGCCAGGGAGGGGGAGGGTCGCCAGAAACTGCTGTCCTGTCGCCGGGGCAGCCTCAGCCCGGCCCGGGCGGTCCTGCTCCGAAGTGTCCGCAGGGTCCCGTTCAGTGGTGCAGCCCACTTCCTCTCGTGCTCCAACAGTCCTGTGGCCAGGTCTCCAGGGCTCGAGAGCAGCTGGGGAGTGACTTCCAAGGGGGAGGCCCGGGCTCTGGACGCTGTGCAAAGCTGAAGAGATGCCCTTTCCCCTTGTCGAGCAGCCTGGCCCAGGCTGACGGGGTCCTTCGCATGAGCACCCAGCGCGGCCTGGCCAGGGCCGAGACAGGCCATCTCGCTGGCGCGGTCTGTGCGCCGGGGAGGCCCGGTGCGCCCGCCGCAGCCCAAGGGCAGGCTCCTCGCGTCGGACCCCTGAGGCCGTCTGCCCAGGAGAGGGATGCAGGGCGGGGCCCGGAAGGAAGACAGCACTGGGATTCCTGGGGACCACACGCCAGCCTCCGTGTCCTCGGTCTGGCCAGGCCTGGCCATGGGGAGCCTGGGCGCCTTCCCCTTTCTGAGGCTGGGGTGGGTCTGTCAGCTCACACCCCACACTGCCCACTGCGCCCGTGCCCCCCGGGCACTTTGGGGCTGCAGAGACGGTCCAGCCGTGGCTCTGCTCAGACCGCAGCAGGGGTGGCCGGGAGTCCCGCCCTGGGGCTGCCAGGGACACAGCCGGGTGGTGAGGAGGACAGCTGGCCGGCGGCCTGTCCGGCCCGCTGAGGCACCCTGAGGACCGAATCCTAGGGCTCGGTGGGGTCAGCTCTGACCCCCAGGGCCATCGGCCTCGCTGTCGCTGCTCTGAGACAGCTCCCCGGGGCTCTCGAGGCGCCGCAGCTCCAGGAAGGCAGCGATGAGCCTGGCCACGGCCTCCACGTCGCTGGGCGAGAGCAGCACAGGGGGAGCGGGTTACCGCGCGGTGGTGCGGCCGGAAGGACCGCCCCGGGCCCCCCCCCCAGGCCCTCCGACCTGGTCCCCACCCTCACCCACCCCCAGCCCAGCCTTGTCTGGCTGAGGCCCCCGGGGGGCTATCCCCTAGCGGTGCCCCCTCAGGCGGGGGCTCGGGGGCGGCCCCGCCGCCTGCCCCGCTCACCTGCGGTGGCCCATGACGGCGCTCTGGGTGAGGGGGTGCGAGAAACCCGTCGCCGAGCGCAGCACCACCACGTAGCCCCTCCCGAAGTACCGCACCTTCTCCTCCTCCACATTCACGTCCTGGATGTCACTCAGCAGGACCACCACTGCAGGGGACACGGGCCGGGCAGGTCAGTGGCAGCGTCCCCCCACGCCTGTGCGCTGAGCACGGTCACTTCAGGGCCACTCTGCAGAGGACCCCATCGCACTTGCCATGAAGCAGAAAGTTGGTCACTGTCGCGGGCTGGACCCCAAGAGACACCCGAGCCTGACCTTGGATGCCACAGGCCCATGACCACACTGCAGGATCATGCAGCTCCTGGGTCACGGAATGTCCGGTGGACCCATGGTGGCCTCGAAAGGCCTGCTGCCCTCTCGTGACCACTCCGCCGCGGCGGGCGGCGCAGCACACTGCCCGTCTTCCTGCCTCACCTCCCCGGGCGCGAGGGTGCGTTCCTGGTCCCTGGTGGCCACGTCAGCGGGCGGGGGCGTGTCTAGGAGCCCCACGTCCATCCGCGGGGTGGGAGCCAACCCTGACTGCGCAGCAGCCGGCCCTCCCGGAGTTGCCTGTGCACCGCCCGCCCGCCGCCTCACCTTGGTCGTGGCCTGCTCTGAAGAGAGTCAGCAGCTTCTTGTACAAGCTGAATGTCTTCAGCACGACCTTCCCGGTGCTCTTGTCGAAGACGGCTTCCTGGAAAACCGCCCATGCGGTGGTGACCGGGCTGCTGGCCTCAGTGCACCAGCCTCCCAGACACAGACCCCCGGGGGCCCGGGCTCCCGGACTGTGCCCCGCCCTGGCCAGAGCAGACCTCTTCCCTCCCCTCCCCGTGGCAATCCCCAGCCCGACCCTCAGGTGCTGCTCAAAGACAAACACCCACAGCCTGACCCGGGGGCTCCTGACAGGCGAGGAGCCCAGGGGCTGGGCGTCTCTCCTCTTCGCAGGCAAAAGACTAGTACAGTGGTCAAGGCCACGCAATGGGGGAACGGGGGCCAGAGGTCAAACAGCAGCCCAGAGGGGCGTGAAGGGGAACAGGGAGGGGGCGGTCCCCGAGGGAGCACCCGGGTAGACACAGCCAGGAAGAGCTTCTGGGGGGAAAACAGCTTCAGGGAGCTCCCTAGCCCAGGAGCAGCGGCAGACAGGCCACCCCAGGGGCTGAGCGCCAGCCCCCGGAGCCTCTGCGTGGGGTGCCAGGCCCGGACCTGCCCTCCCGCTGAGGCCCCCCCGCAGCGGGCCGGGGGCCGAGCACCTCACCTCCCAGTCCTCCAGGTTCTGCACGGCCACGAACAGGCAGCCCGTGACGTAGAAGAGCTTCCAGCCCAGGCTGTCTGGGGACACACACAGGACGCACCCAGGTGAGGGCAGCAGCAGAGGACGAAGGCTGCAGGAGTGGCTCCTGGGGGCCCTGCCTGCCCCCAGCTCTGCCCTCGCCCCTCGGGTGTCACTCGGGACAGGTGGCGGGTTGTCTGCGGATCCCAGCATGGTGTGTGGTGGGGCGGGGGAAGGCTTTCAGGGGCAGCTGAAAACACGGCTCGCCTTCAACAGAACCTTAAGTGGGTATGAGTGCACCTTCCTAAAGAGCTTTTTGTCCTTTTAGCCCCATTTAGCAGTGAGGGACAATGGTTTCTGATGCAGGAAAATGCCCGAGATGTGAGCCGCGCAGGCTGCAAGGGAGAATACACCAGCACCCAGAGGCGGGCCCACCCGTGGACCACGGGGAGCCAGAGGCCATCCCTTGGTGGGTTACAAATGACGGGCTTCCCTTCTTTTCTCTATTTCCCTAAGAGCCGAGGAAGTTATGGGGGGCAGGCGCAGCACCTCACCTCCGCTGTAGTAGGCAGCAGCCAGGCCAATCGACAAAATTCCTGCAAAGAGAAGGCAGGCGCCTTGGTGTTGGGTCACGCCAGCCCTGAGCCTGCCTTCTTCCTGCTGCCAGCGAGGGCTGTGTCGGGGGGAGCAGGGGTGAGAGGACCCCCAGGCTCAGAAGTGGAGGAAGTTGAGACAGGGTCTGCACATTGGCTGTGTCCAGCTGACCTGGCTGGGGCGCCCGCGGACGGGCCCAGCATGGGCTTTACAGCAACAGGCAGAACATGGGGGGAATGAAGACAAAACTCTGTGTAAAGAATCACAACACAAAGGCAGAGGAGAAAGAGGGAGGGGGCCATGTGCAGGGTCATGGGAATGAGGGACCAGAAACACGCTGCTGAAGGCACGGGGGCGCCTCCTCACGCCTGGATCCAGTCACGGGTGCAGTGGCCTGGCAGGTACAGGGCTAGAAGACGGGGCAGCCCGCCCTGCTTAGAGGAAAAAGGGAATGCATCACCGCCCATCACGTGGGCCGGAGGCGAAAATCAGACACCTGCAACCAGGTGTGTGAAAGCAAGTAAAAGGGGAAACAGGAGGCTCTCAGAAGAGCACAGCGTTAACTTAAGGATGCTGAGCGATGAAAAAGACAACACACACACCCCATGTGTAACAGCAAGGACACAGGATAAAATCCAGAGGAATACAAAGGAACAAAATAGCTGCTCTATCTTGGGGAAATAAAACAAAGGAAGAAAAACTTAAGTTCCACGTTCATCTATCTTAAAGTTAAGGTTCTGAGTTGGGGGTAAACATGGAAACCCTTACCGACCAGCAGGGACCAGGACCTGATGCCCGGAGCCCTCTTCAGATGGAGGCAGGAGCTGGTGCGCGTCTCCACCTGCATGTACATCCCGAGACCGTGCGAGCACCACTCTCAACAGGAGAGCCGGGCTGGGAAGGACAGACGCAAGGACAGCTGGAGCCCAGGGGCCACTGCCCAGGCAGGGGCCAGCTCTCCAGGGCAGGGGGCCCGGCTGGCCCGCCAGCAAAGCCCGCACGGGCGGGGGAACCGGTCGGCCTCCGATGACCGCCGTCTCTCTGGTCCCGCATATCACCTGATGCCCCAGGGACCCGCTTCCTCTAGAAAGATGGCCTTTCTCTGCTCGGTTATACTGACTGCACTGGGCTATTCGCCCTGTGCGGACTCCGAAACCATCAACCGACACTTGGTCCTCACCTGCCCCATCGTACCTGGAAACCTTAACCCCCAGCCGCCTTCAAGCTCCCGGGACCCTCCCGGACGTAGCAGAACGCCCTCACTTCCCTGTGCGGGTCCCCACCAAAAAACGGAACCGCCAGTCTCATGGTCTGAGTCCGCTCTGGCGCGGACGGAAAAAGCCAGCCGTGCAGCCTCCGCGGCTGCGGGAGGAAGTGCCCCTGCAGACCGAGCCGCGCGACACGCTGGCGCGGGGACTCCCTGCCAGGTCGAATCAAGCCCCTGACACCGCGATGCCGCTCGCCCACGAACGCTGCGTCTGTGCTCGTCACTGCGCTCCCTGCCGGGCCCACCCACGCAGCGAGGTCGCCGGCCTGGGCGAGGGGCGCCGCCGACCGCCTGACTCTTGCAGCTCCCGGCCGCCTCCTGAGCCCGCGCTCCCGAGAGCGGAGCCCGCAAGCCCCGCCGCCCGTCCCACGCCATCCCGACGGCGGCCACGGCTCGGCGCCTACCGAAAACGCGGGCTGGTAGACGCGGGCGCAGAGCGGGACCCAGGGCCGCGGCGCGAGCTGCTGAGTTCCGGGGCTGGGGGCGGGGCTGCGCTGACTTCCGGACGCGCGCGGTGGGCGGGGCTGCTTCCGTGATCTGGGGGCGGAGCTTCGCACTTCCGGAAATAGGAGGTGACCGCCGCTGGTTCCAGAGGCGAGAGGGCGGTGCATCCTCCAGGCGCCGAGGCGCTGGCGGAACGGCCGGAGGGAATGGGCCGCGACAGCGCTGATCGCGCTCCTCGCGCCGAACCACCCAGGGATCCCGAACAGCCCTGGCGTCGATGCAGAGAAACGGAGCCGGCGGATGCGAGCAGAGAGCGGGGCGTCTGCGCCGTGGCGGCCGCGGGGTGCCGAGGCCCGGACCTGGCCTGAGAGCGGCTGTCATTTACGCCTCAGAAAGCCATTTAAAACAACGAGAAAACTAGAAAGGACCGAGTTAGTCTAACAACAGAGGCATGAGAGTTTATGATAAAAATTATAAAAACTTGCCTCCCTATTTGCGGCCGGATGAAGCCGTCCGCTACCGCGATGGTCTCCCAGGTGCCGGAAGAACACACGAGAGCTTACGGTCCTATTTATTTTTGTTTTATAATTTACATAGGTTAATACAACCGTGCCTAATTCTGCCTATAAAGAAACATGCAAACCTAGAGGTTTTACCAATATAGGCACACGGTAGACATGTTGGAGACCACGTTTCTTTACCAGTCAGCTTCAGATGCTCTGCCCGTGGTTCCCAAGCCGACCCACGCACCGAAATCACCAGGTGGACCTGTTGAAACCCTGCTGGACCCTGTTCCAGGAGCGGTGGGGCCTGACATGTTGCCTGTTGCGGATGCTTCTAATCCAGGAACCTCTCTGAGACCCTCTGCCCGAAGCGGCAGCGAAGCGGGGCTCGGCGGGAACAGCTAAGTTCCCTGACCGGGTGCCTCGGCGCACATTCCCTTTTCTTGAAACGGTCCTCCCTCTGTTGAGATCCAATGCCGCCTCCAAGGTCGATGACTTGCTAACAAGCAGCTCCTTTAAGCCCTTCCTGCTCGCTGCGGCTGCACGTGATCTTAGTCCTCTGAATTAGGTGGAATGGAGCTGAGACCCTGAAAATGGTACCTTTGCATCACACCTTTCCTACTAGATTACAAACCGTTTAAAGATGAAGCCTGCACTGGCATACCGTAAATATTAAATGTCTGAGCAAATGATACCTGATTTGGTTAAACTCTTGCCGAGGATTGGTAACAGCAAAAGACTGGGGATGAATACAGTCTCCATACGTAGGGGACCGAGTGAATAAAATCTGTATATGGTGCCAATTGTCAATGATCTCTCAGCTCTAAATGTAAACGTCACTGCCTGCTCCGTGAAAAGCAATCTGAGCCCCAGACTTTTCTGCGCTGTCAGGCGCCATGTTCAGCTCTGTCAGTAGAGGGCGCTGAGGGGGCGCTGCCGGCGGAAGACGGTCTCTTCCGGGTCCCGGTCCGGCGGGGCCGGTCTGCCGGCTCCCCCAGCTCAGCGAGCTTCTCCAGCGTCCCGCGCTCACGCTGCACGCTGGCCAGCGGCCCCCAGCGTTCCGCACCCCCTTACGGGGTTTTGCGCAAAGGGCCTCCAGTGAGACACCTGTGAAATAGCTTTCCTAGCACCCTGCTGCGAGGGTTTCCAGCGAGTCCCGCCAGGGCAGCGCCAGGCGGCCTCTGCCGTCCGGTGAGCCACCGCTCTCCTCTCCAGGAAGGTCCAGCTCTCCGTCGGTCCTGGGGTACAGCGGGCTCCTCACTGGGTGCTCCTGCGTAGCCTGGGGGGAAGGGCTGCCTTGTTTCTTGCCATTCTACATTCTCTGTACTCTGATTTATTTCATATTGGCCTCCTTGCTCCAATCCCTACTTAATGATTCATTGTATTAAACTCTCTCTGTTGAAAGTACTGTGTGGTTTCTCCTAATTGGACCCTGTTAAATACTATGTCCACACGATGCAGTGCTATGCATCTATCGGGGAAGGGAACGAGGACTATCTGTGCGTTACAATGGGGGGCTCGCCAGCATACGTTACATTGTTGAGTGAAGAGTAAGATGGAATAAAGTGTACAAATATACCATAGTTAAAAAGGAGGTTACAGAGTGCAAATATACAAATACATACATTGAAATAACATAAGCTGGTACTTTGGTGGTGGGCAGTAGGTTAGTTAGCACTGTCAGCCTGGTGCCTTTTGCGCGTGTGATGGAAAAAATGCGAACAAGTGTTTCAGGGAGGAGTCACTGGGAGCCGGACTTGGAGCCTGAGAGGAAGGAGCCACAGTGCAAGGTCAGTGATGTTCACACGCGCGAACGCGGTGGCCCTGGGGCTGGATGAGAAGGGCCAGTGGGAATTCATAATGTAGCCTGTCTTGAAAAAGTGCCCGGCTCCTAACGCTGTCCACTGAGAAGTCCTAGAAACAAGGACCAATTCAGTAGCAACGAGCAATTCTAGTACTCGTTTTGTGTTTTTTAAACACCCAACTCCTACTAAAGGAACCAGGCTTCTTATGGAAAAGGCTGATTTCAGCACAAATGAACAAGGAATGATACCCAAGAGTAGAGAGACTACTAGTGCTTGTCAGAAGGACTGTGGAGCCTAACTGAAAAGATTCTCATTGCCAAAAAAAGACAAACTATTTGATCATTAGTAAGAATTAAAATGAATTGAAAATACTTGTGTGTTTAAATCCACAGTTTATCTTGATATATTTTTAAATTCTTTGTTCACTTTCGAAGGATGTGAGAAACAAACTCCAATTTTTTGGCGGATAACGCAGGAGAAGAATCAAACATTCGTCCTGTCTGTGTAAAATGTACAGCAGAGTAAACAAATACTGAATGGGAAGAACTTGTCATTTGAGAAGCAGTCCCCCTATTAAGATAAGAAATGACCCTGACAGGGGAGGCGAACCGAAAGGTCAGAGGTGCCGTTCCCAGTCTGGGCGCCTGCCTGGGTTGCAGGCCAGGTCCCCAGCAGGGGTTGTGCAAGAGGCAATCAATCGATGTATTTCTCACACATCAATGTTTCTGTCTCTTTCTCCTTACCTTTCCCACTCTCAGAAAATAAAACCTTTAAAAAGATAGGAAAAGAAATGGTAGGATTAAAACACCGCCCTAAAGATTCGGTGAACTGACGGATCTAGGTAATCTCATCAATAGCTGGTAATTAACATTAAAAAAAAGACATAGTAGAACCTCCTGATGAAATGACACACCATCTATGAAGTATTCTCCCCCCCCAAACCACTAGAATGCTGTAATTACGCTTTATTGGCAACTCAGAGGACAAAGGTAAGAAAAGGACCCCACCAAGACGCAGCCAGTAACTGGGAGAAACCCTACCGCTGGACAGCCTGGCTGCTTGGCTGGAACCTGCGGATTTCAAACCAAACCAAACCACCACCACCAGCCTTTACATGTGGAACTCTCTGTTCTATCTCTGCAACTTCTAAGTGAGCCTCAAGTTATTTCAAAACAAAAAGGTTTTTTAAAAAAGATCTTATCTCCTTTAGAGAGAGGGGAAGGGACGGAGAATGAGAGAGAGAGACATCAGGCCGTTGCCTCTCGTTCCTGCCTGGGCCACGGACAGAACCCAACACCCAGGCAGGTGCCCGGACCAGGCACCGCACGCGCAGGGACCTTTCAGTTTGCGGGATGACACCGACCCGCTGAGCCACCCCACTCAGGCCCCAAAACGTTGTTTTTTTAAAAAGAGCAACTTAAAAAATAGAAGCAAATTGTAACATAGACTATTAGAACATTTTGGACCTTATTTAGATCCCATTTTAAACAACAAAAAAATGAGATTAGAGAAATTCAGACACTTAACTACATTATTGATGAAATTGATCGTAATTTTTTCCCCCACACATAACGGTATTTTTATGTTTTTAAAACACCAATAAAAATACATACAAATGACTACCTAAAATTATCGACTTACGCGAGAAAGGGAAGACGCTTTCTGAGAGGTGCGGACATGGATTTGCGCAATGCAGAACATCAACCTGGCAGCCAGTTAAGACCTCGAGTCAACTACTGCATTTATAAAAAACTGAATGAACCAAAAATTGTATAAATAAAAAAATGTAACGGGGAACGTTTTCATCATCCCAGTGAGGGCTCTGAGAGCTGGGACAGCTTGCGCATGTCCGTGACCGCGAGGTTCTGGGGTTGCCGGGGGCTGCCCAGACACACGGACACCCCGCAACTCGCTGTTCTTCCTCCCCCCTGAATTCTCCAGGCACCTTCTCCTTTCCGACCGTCCGGTATGACTATCACTGGTTTTATAAAACTTTCTCAGTAACAGAGTTCAACGTTTCCATTTAGCCCTACACGTGGTGCCGTGTCCTGGAGAATCAATATTCTCTGCAAAGCGTACGGGCCGAGTCGCCGGGTGAGACGCAGGGGCCCTACGGGGCTGGCAGCCGCCGCTTCACACCGCCCTCGTGCTCCCGCCGACCGCGTGCGCCCGGACCCGCCGCGCGTGCGCACTGCCGCCTCGCCAGTCCTACGTGCCGCGCCCCGGGGCGGCAATGGCGGCAGGCCGGTGCCGCGCCTCCGCCCCTCCCCGCCGGGGCGGTGCCGTCTCGGCCGGGCACGCGCCGGAAGGGCGGCGCGCGCCCGGCGCCGGGCTGAAGGTCCCGTGCGACCCGGAACGAGGGCAGCTCGCCTCCTCAGGACAGTCGGCTGCTCGCCCGGCGCCTCCGCGGGGTCCGGACTGGTCGGGCCGCGCCCCGCCCCCGCGCTCTCCGATTGGCTGCGAGGCCCGGCCCCAGCGCTCTTATTGGCCGCGCGGAGCCGCGGGGTGGGACCGCGCCGGGGGCGACAGCAACAAAGGGCGGCGGGCGGCCGGCGGCGGTGACCGCGTCTCCCGGTGCTTCCCTCAGGTCACGCACGCCGGCCCCGCCTGCCCTGCTCCAGATGAAGTGTGAGCACTGCACGCGGAAGGTGGGCCCCGCGTGTCCGTGCGGCTGGGGTCAGGGTCAGCGGCCGGGGCGTCGGGGTCAGGGGTCGGCGCGGCTGCGGTCGGAGGTCGGGGGGTCAGGACGGCTCGCTGACGGCTCGCTGACGACCAGCAGCGCCGGCGCGGCGTCCCTTCGCCGCCTGGGACAGCGCGGGGTCGGACGTGGTGTCCGCCTGGAGGGCCCCGTGCGGGGCCGGTGGGACGGACCCCGCCGCCGGCGCTGCGCCGCAGTCGCGGCGCCTCTCCCGGGGCCTCGGGGCGCGTGCTCGGCGCCGGCTCTCCGCGCGCGGAGCCGGCCTTCCCAAGGGTCTGACGCCGGAACCCGCCGGGGAGCGGACCGACCGCCGTCCGAGCGCAGCCCGCTCTGGGGGCGAACAGTCGGCGCGGCGTTTCCGGGGTTTTAACTTTCCCAACCCCGGGTGCCCGGGGCGACGGCCCTGCTGCCCCCTGCGTGGCGGGGTGGCCCGGCGGCCTCGCCCCGGGGTCCGGGCTGAGGGCCGGAGTGACCGCCCAGCGCGGGCGGGCGCTGTGTTGGGTTCTCCCGAAAACCGGAGCGCATCTGGGAGGCTGTTCCGTCCGGGGCTCCTTTTCTTGTTTTTATTTTTCTGGCCTGACCTCCCGGAGGACGCGGCGCTCCGGGGTGCGGGGTCCGCGGGGTCCCCGCGCCCGGGCGCGGCCCCTTCCCGGGAGGAGGCTCCCACGCGGGAGGCGAGCGGCGCGGACCGCGGGCCGGTGGTGTGAGCGGGGCGTCGGCGTCCAGGTGCCCTGACGTGTGCCTTTGCCTTTTCAAGGAATGTAGTAAAAAGACGAGAACCGAAGGCCCGGAGAATGCGGCGGCCGGCGCGCCGAGTCCGGCCCAGGACGGCGGCGAGGCAAGTCGTCTTCCCGCGTCCCGGGGGCGCGGCGTCCTGTCACCGCGCGCGCCGTCGCTCCGAGGAGAGAAGCGAGAACCGAGAACCGCGGCGGCTCCAGCGGCGCCCCCGGCTCCGCGGCGTCTCCTCTGGCGGCCTCGCTGCTGGCTCCGCGGGCTGTTCGAACCCGCGCTCGCGGGCGGCCGTTGCCTCCCGGGCCCCCGGCTGCGGGCGAGGGGGTGCGGTGCGGGGGCCGAGGCCGCTGCTCCCCGAGGGAAGCCCTGGCGCCGACTGCTCGGGCGGGAGGGCGGGGGCGGGCCGCCCTGGAGAAGCAAGTGCGGGTTTCCCCGGCAGTTTGGCGCCCCGATGCGGGGCTGACCCGACAGGCCTTGGCCGGGGCCCTCCTGCCCCAGCGCTGCCCCGCTTTCTGCCGACTTCGGTGCGCGGGGTGAGGCAGGCGCCAGGGCAGGCGCGGGCAGGGCTGCAACCCGAGCCCTGGGCCCTCTGGCTGCATCACCGGAGGGACGTCTCCCCCGGGGCCCCAGTTTCCTTATCAGCGACACGGGGAGTTGGATTACCGCCCCCCCTTCCTCTGGGCTGCGGTGACAGCGAGATAGCGCGTGCCCACAGCCTGGGCCGGCGCCCGCCACTCAGCGAGCGCGCCCCGCGTGAGGCTGGGCCCGCCAGGGCCGGGCCGCCGGCGGCGGGCCCTGGGGCGGAGGGAACTGAGGGCCCAGGGAAGGAGTGGACAGTGGTTTGGGGAAGGGGTGGGGGGAGCCACGGAGGCTGTGTGTGTTTCAGGGCCGGTGACGGGGCGGCTTCCCCCGGCTGGGGCAGGGGAGCAGCAAACGAAGCCCCGCGGGAGGCAGGGTGGCGGGGCCCGGGTGGGCGGGCGCCGGAGTGGAGAAGCCAGACGGAGGGCGCGGCGCGGGGAGCCGGGAGCGTTGTGAGCTCCGTGGACTCCGAGCTGCCCGCAGGGGGCTGCCTGGGGTTGGGAGGGAGGCGGCTGCGCCCACGGCGGAGGTTGGAGAGGCGCCGGGGGCGCTGGCAGCCTGGCACTGCCCTGGGGCGAGGCTGATGGGAGGGAAGGGCAGTGGACCGGCTCCTGGTGAGCGCGCCCGTTTAGCAGGTGCGAGGAGGAGGGAGGGACAGAAGTGGGAGGGGCCGGAGGGGTGGGAGGGACCCAACCAGGCCTGCGGGAGGCGCTGGAAGGAGCGCCTGGGCTGCCCGCTGTGCAGGCCGGGAGGAGGCAGTGCCCGAGGGGCTGTGGGCCCGTCTGCAGGGGCAGCAGAGGCAGGGTTCTTGGTGCGTCTCAGCAGCACCTGGTAGGCACCAGCTCTGTGTCAGGCCGGTCGTTCCAGACCCCTGGAGCGGCAGCGCTGGACACCCCGCCCCTCGCCGCTTTGCGAGGAGTGCGAACTCTTGGGCCCCATTCGGGCTTCGTGATTGTGCACCGGCAGCGCAGTGCGGCCCTCGGAGGAGCCGCACAGTGGCATTCGCGCACGTGGGGGAGGAGGTGGCGGCGTGCGCTCCCAGGGTTGGGCGGGAGGGTCCGTCCAGAGTCCACGCCTGGTCGAAGGAGAAATAAACACGCAGCTTTCGGCAGCTTTCGCTGGTGTGCTCCCATGGCTTCAGTCGGCTTCCGAACACTCCCACGTCGGTGCACTAGGTGTTCATCGAGCGCCTTCTGCATGCGGGGCCTCTTGGAGGTGCTGGGAGCAGGAGGGAGGAAGTCAAGGTTCTTGCCCTCACAGCTTGCATTTTACGGAGAGAGAGACATAAATTCTAGGCGGTGATCTGGGCTGTTCAGTGGGTGCCTGTGAGGGCCGAGGGGTGAGCTGAGCTCTTGGGGAGCACATCCTGCGGGGGGCAGTGCAGAGCGGCCAGGGCCAGTCTGGCTGGAGGTGAGAGCTGGGGGAGCGACGGGGCCGAGGGCCGGAGCAGAGCAGGGGCTTGTGCCCTGGTACATGTCGGGCCTGCCCGCGGACCCGAGACTGCACAGCCCATCGGGGGAGAGGAAGAGGCCGCGGGGGGGCGCCAGGGATTGTAGCCTGCGAGCCGGCTGAGCGGGGCGCTGTTACCGAGGTTGGCCGAGGGCCCTGGTGCACTCGGAGCGGAGCGTCAGAGCCAGCACTGCACTGTGTCAGTTCGGAGTTCGCGTGGGCGCCACGTGGCTGGTTGAGCTCCCCGGGCACTGCGTGGGAACCCCCAGAGACAGCAGAGGAGGGGCCACAGGGAGGCGGAGAGGGTTCAGGCCAGCTCCCAGGACAGAGGAGTGCCATTTTCCTCCTGCCCCGTGACTGCTGGCCTTGTCCTCAGTGAGACTCGCTGGGATCACTGGGGCTGTGCCCGCCAGCCCCTGGCGCGCCAGGCCCGGCCGGTGACGTCTCACGTGTCCGGTGTCGGTGTTTTACACTGTGCCTGTGCTGCGCTCTGAGAGCCACATGTTGGGGAGTCTGGCCAAAACAGCGTCTTTCTTTCCTAGAAGGGAGAATTCCATAAGTTGGCTGACGCCAGGATATTTCTGAGTGACTGCCTAGCGTGTGACAGCTGTGTGACTGCAGAGGAGGGAGCCCAAGTTTCCCAGCAGAACGCCAGGGACTTCTTCCGTGTCCTGAACCTTAACAAGGTATGGTGTCCTGGCGCTCCCTGGCACCCTGGCCTGGAGGAGGCGGATGGAGGTCAAGGGAGGGCACAGAAGCCTCTGCTGGGATGTGGTGCCTGCAGCGGGGCCCCGGCCCCGGCAGTAGTCACCCCGTCCAGAGCCCTCCCCAGCGGGACGCCCTCGGATGGCCCGGCGTCGTGCTCCCTCACGGGCGCGGCGATGGCTGTGGCCGGGACCGCCGACCAGGCTCCCTGGGCTTGGGGGAGGCCTCTGCCACGCAAGGCCATGCAGCGGTAGCATGACTTTGGTCACGGGACCTTTGGTGGCCGAGCCGACGCTTTTCTGCCTCTGGGGTGTTCACAGAGGTCAGGGTTGTGTTCTAAGGGGTCGTCAGGCTGGGGCCAGCCCCTGCGGCCCCCTGTCCGCAGCTGCCCGGTGGCACCCGGCTTCCAGCAGCGGCCTTCCTGCCGGGAAGACAGCTGAGAGGGAAAGAAAGGAGAGAGAAGGGCAGGCGAGCTGAGAGGCCCGTCCCAGTGGGCCCTCGCTGCCCCCACAGCCACAGGGAGCGTCCCCTGTCCCTCTGCGCGGGTGCCCGAGCCCCGGCCCACTCGGCGGCGCAGGGGCCCCAGGTGGTGCTTGGACTGGAGTCACGTTGAACGTGTAGGCCATTCGGGGGGCCTGTGTTTGACCGGGCAGAGCCCCGCCATCCGGGAGCGCGCTGTCTCGGTCCCTCTGTGTGCGGCCTTCAGCGGAGGGCTCCTGTCCGCCCCCCCAACGCTTGTGTCGGGTCGTCCGCCGCTCTCCAGGCCTGTGGTTGGTTCTTGAGGTGACTGGGGTTCTGTCGTTGCTTTGTGACGCATTACGTCTTATTCTGTAACTTTCTATAAAGTCAGTTGTTGGTATGTTGGGAAGCTGTTTTCGTGTCTGTCTTGTATGTGACTATTTTTTAAATGTGGTGTTCTAGCGGTCCTCTAGGTTATCCTAGGTTTTCTAGGGTTGTTGACAACAATTGATAAATTTTATCTCTTTTGACCTATTTACCTCTCATACCTCTTTTTCTGATTATGCTGTTTAGGACCTTTAAGTCAACCGCAAATAACAGTGGTGATAAATGGTACTAATCTCTTGTTTACTGTTAAATACATGTTTGCAGAAACTGGTAAGGTTACCCATATCAGTCTGCATTTCATCTGCAGAAAAGGGATACCCAACTCAGACTGGCCTAAAGAATAAGGAAATGGCTAATTCAGGAAACTGAAAGCTTAGCGCTTGGGGAGGGCCTGGGGCCGGGCGAGTCAGCCACTCAGGGCTGCTCCGCGGGGCTGTGGGCTCCGGCCGATCCCCTCCTGGTCATAGCACGGCTCCCTCCGCAGAGGAGGCAACATTGGAGTGAGGATGAAGCGAGAGCCCTGGGGATACCCCCTGTAGGGCATCAGGCAGAGGGACAGGAAGCGCGGGTGTGGCTCCTTAAAAGTTGCCACTAAACAGCCTCGGAGACATCTCTGGGTACCACTTTAGTATGTCTGCATTTTTTTTTTAAATACGTATTTTTACTGTTATTGAGTCATTTTAGTTACTTATGGGCCAATATTGTAATTTTTTTCTTTACAATTATTTTCTTCCAGGTACTTGCATTTATCAATATAACATCGTTCTTAAAATTGGAAAAATGCCTTGGGATGCCCGATATTTTAATTGTATTTTTTCCTCTTTTTTCCCCTTTACTAGTCTTCGCATAGACCATCTGTTTCAGCCTGTTTGTTCTGGATCTTCCATCAAGGTGTCTCATGTCACTCTGTGTGTGATTGCTCGTAGGTGACATTTTTCTATGTTTCTCCTAGAAATGTGATGCCTCAAAGCACAAGGTGCTGGTAGTGTCCGTGTGTCCCCAGTCTCTGCCTTATTTTGCTGCTAAATTCAGCCTGAGTGTCACGGATGCATCCAGAAGACTCTGTGGCTTCCTCAAAAGTCTTGGTGAGGCCCCTTTTGCTGTTGTTGTGAGTTCACAGCTTGAACTTGTAACTGCCCTGTTGTATCTAGAGTTCATTTTTCAAGGGTTCAGGACAGGTAAGACCCTGTGAGTGTCACAGTGTGAGAGGACCCTTCTTCTGACCCATCGTGGGTGGGTGTCACTCAGCCCCTCGCTGTATTACTGCTGGGGATGGCCCCCTGGGAGCAGCAAGTGACCGTCTTCAGGCAGAGCGGCCGGGGAACACGTGGGAGGCCCCACACTTGCCCGTCAGCCTCGTGTTGCCTGGGCGTAGGGAGGCCGCGGTGGCGTCCTGGGGTGCAGAAGGCTGCTGCCGCTGCCGCCACGGGCGTCTGGCTTCCCAGCAGGCTCTGAGGAGCCAAGCAGGAAGGGAGGGCTCTGTCCTGCGCTGAAGGCGGACCCGGAGCCATGGCAGAGCCCAGCACGGACTCGGACTCGGGGCGGGGGCTGAGCTGAGCACGAGGTCGCGCTGCCTCCCGCGGCAGGGGAGGCTTGCTTCTGGGTCGTCGGCCGATGTCAGGCCAGCGCTGCCCCTGCTCCCAGTGGGGTTTTCACGGCCCCGGAGCCTCTGTCCTCGGGCTCGGCCATCAGCAGGCTGGCGCGGATGGGGAGAACCTGAGCCATTGGCCAAATGATAGTTTTTATTATTGCACAGAGACATAAATATGTTGGGGATTACTAATACAGTAAGAACACTTAGACTAAACATGGATGGAACCGGCCCGCCAGCCTCGCTGCTCCTTGGCTGCATCCGGTTCTGGGCGCCCGGCGCCACCACGGCGAGGCACTGCTCCCTCCTGCTTCCACCTCACAGCCTGCAGTCAGCGTGGTTGTACCAAAGACCGAGGTGCTCGGTGCTGGTGGCCTCGCAGCCAAGGCATTGTATGTGAACACTATTAATGAAAACACGTTCACAGGGAAACCGATTTCTTAAGGTAATGCTTTAAGATGACACTTAGAACATTTGTTATATTACTTTTTATGGATAACTGGCTGCTTTTTGGATTTATTATTTTTTTAAAAAAGAGCTTGCTTATTTCCAGAGATAGGGGAAGGGAGGGAGGGAGGGAAACATTGACCAGTTGCCTCTCGTGCGCCCCCAGCAGGAGACCTGGCCCGCAGCTCTGGCCTGTGCCGCGCCTGGAAGTGGAACCGGCAGCCTTGCAGTCCCCAGGCCCGCGTTCCAGCCACTGAGCCACCCTCGCCAGGGCGGCTGCTGTCAGGGTTACACCGGCTGTATATGTTAAAGTTGATTGCCTAATTTGTTTTATTATAATTAGTGAAAATACATTCTTTTGTCTCAAGCTTGTTTACCAATATTAAGAAAGTTTATTAAGAAAAAGATAGTTATGCACCAACATAAAATTAAGATCATCATAAAGATGTGCTCAGCCAACTTACTCATTTCATTTATTTTAAAGATGTCAAGGATTGTTACTGAAATTTAGTTTATACAGTGAATTAGGAGAGAATGCTGCTAATACCTTACAATATTCCATTAATTTATATGTGCAGCACTGTAAGGTGTTTATGTAAGTACAGATTTAGCGAGAAAAGCGAGAAGCAGAAGAGAGAACGTAGATATTTCATTATGAAAAACGTGCTATTGTTTAAGAAGTAACGTGCGCAGCCATGCGCTCACGCAGCTCGTAGGTGGAGCCAGGGGCTGAGCGTGGCCGAGGCAGCCCAGGAGGAAGGCCTGCAGGACCAGCTGAGCTGGCCTCTTGGGGGAGGAGACCCCGCGCCTGCGCCCTGGAGCTGAGCGCCCCCTTCCCTGCAGGGGTGCACTACGTCTTCGACATGACAGTGGCTGCGGACTTCAGCCTCCTGGAGAGCCAGAGAGAGTTCGTGCGGCGCTACCAGCAGCACAGTGAGGAGGAGCCCACGCTGCCCATGCTGACCTCGGCCTGCCCTGGTGAGCACCCGGGGCCACCGCTGTGTCGCCGTTTGTCTGAGGGACCTTGCTCGCCGGGCGGCCTTCGGGGCCGGTGTGGGCAGTGGGCGAGGCCAGGGGTCAGGGCCTCAGACCGGGGGACGTGTCTGGCCTGGTGCGCTGTTTTATGTCCGCCGACTATCCATGTGGGAGTTTGGTGGGGCGACCTGACACCTGAGCGTAGGTGTCTTACCTTCATTGACCCTGTTTCTGAGGTTTCTGACAGGAACATATTTTGTATTAAGAAAGGTAAATCTATTTTCTCTTAAAAGTATGACATATTTCAGATATCCAAATAATTATAGATAATAACATGGCCAATGCTCATCTGTCCTTTGCCAGCTTAAAAAAAGTTACAGAATATAAAAAAGCCTTTACATTGATACTGAGATCCCATTGGGATCACTTTTTAAACCAGACTTTTAATTAGTTTCAGTGTAGAGCCTGGTGTCTGGGGCATAGAGATGATTTATCACAGGCTTTTTAATTCTGGAAAAAGGAAGTCTTGGAATAGCAGAATATTTAAAGATGACGCATAAGGGAAGAAGGAAGAGAGGGCTGTAGTGGCGCGTGACACACGCAGCGAGATTTCACTTCCAGCGCCGTCGGCTCTGTGAGCGCGGGGCAGCCGCTCGCTGCCCAGGCTGCTGCGGCTCTCAGGGTTTTGTTCACGTTTCTGTTCTTAGTTCATTTTCCTTCCCCCAACCGTGACTCCCGAGTTTTCTTCCATTTTATATGTCATCCATTAATCATTAAGATTACTCTTTAATAAGATAGAATGTTGACAGTTTGGTTACGTAGAATTTGAAATAATTCCCACTCACTCACAAAACCATGACGAGGAATCCCACCATCTGTCCAGGAGGCCGCGTGGGTTGACCAGCCCAGGGCTCGGCGGGACGTGCTCCGGTTCGGGTGGGGCTGGTTTCTGGTGTCTGGTTTGTTTTGGAAAAGAGATTCCCACACGGATGCCCTGGGTCTCCTGGGCCCCACTGTATGGTCAGCAGGGCCACGCGATGCTCTCCGTACCCGGTCAGTCCCCGGGAAGGGGACGAGCTGTGGCTCCCGCCGCTCAGACGGCGGGGCGGCTGGCGGGCCACTGACTGTCCACCCCAGGGGGCGTGGCGGGAGCCATCCGCTCAGGCGCTGTGGCTGTGGCTCCCTCCTGAACTGTGGCCGCGTGTCCTGGCTGTGGGAACAGCTTGCAGCCGGTGTGGCGGCACTGGAGCTGTGCAGCCGGGGGGCTTCCTCGTAGCTGCTCCTCCAAGTGTGTTCTCCTCTCTTTTGGGGAACCAGTTCTTTCTCCCACTCTGTCCTCGGGCCAGGGACTGACAGGGACACCCACTCCCCCACCCTCCAGTCCGGGCTCAGGCCCCTGGGGCCCCGTGTCCCTCGCTGCTGGGGGGCAGCGGCCTCGGGGGTGGTTCTGTTGCCCACTCCTGGCGAGGTTTGGAGAAGAGGTGTCAGCTTTACCCGCAGAGGGGACAGGGTCTCGGGGGCCCCGAACCCCTGGTGTGCAGCCGGCAGTGGGAGGAAGCAGCCGCGAGGCGCCCCGGTCTCCCTGCAGGCTGGGTCCGATACGCGGAGCGGGTGCTGGGTCGCCCCGTCACGCCCCACCTGTGCACTGCCAAGTCTCCCCAGCAGATCATGGGCTCTCTGGTGAAGGATTACTTCGCCAGGCGGCAGGTAAGCCGACCTCTTCCCGGAGGGCAGCACGGGTCTGGATCCGGGGTGCAGGACGGCTGGCCGTGATGGGGGGGACCGAGGCGAGTGAGGGAGGCACACGGGGTGGACCTGGGGCTGCTGCTCAAGTGACGTGAGGCAGGAACTTGTCTGTGGGAGACAGGAGCCCCCCCAGAGCAGGTGAGCGCCAAGAAGGCAGCGGGCTGGGTGGCAGGTAGGTGTGCTGCTCTCCACGGCCCCGGGCACAGTGTCCTGTCTCCACAGAACCTGTCCCCAGACAAGATCTTCCATGTCATTGTGGCCCCGTGCTATGACAAGAAACTGGAGGCCCTTCGAGAAGACGTTCCCACCGCTTTGCATGGTTCCCGGGGTGCTGACTGCGTGTTAACCTCAGGTGAGAGGTGGGCGGAGCCGGGTGAGCCCCGTGGGGGCCTCCACCTGGTCACCCTCTGAGGTCACCGACAGGACCCCAGGACAGTGGAGAGGGTGGCGCTCCCGCCGCCAGGGCCCGGTGCGCGGCCCGGGACTGAGGGGAGAGGGCTCGGACGCGTGGGGCCGTGACGGCCCCCCGGGGGGGTTCTGGCAGCCCCACCCTCACTGAGGGCGCAAGTGCAACGCTCTCTTTCGGAAAGGCGGGGAGCGCACGTGCGCTCCAGGGGTGTCGCCGCAGCCCCTGCAGGGGCACTCAGTTGGGGTGGAACTGAATCTTCAGAGCCGCTCACAGACGTCGCATCTGTCGAGGGGCAGCTTGAGTCGGGAGCAGCCTTCAGGGGCGGAGGTTCCCTCTGAGGGTCCCCTGCCTGGAGCTCCAGCCCCTGGACACCCCGGGAAAGGCCTCTACCGCACAGGCTCCCGTGGGGCCCCGCGGCAGGAGGGGCCGCGGCCACCTGACCCTCTGCTTCCCTGAGAGTGTGGTTCTCATGGGAACCGCATTCTGTCGTCTCTCCTGAGAGCAGAAGGAAGTGTGCTCTGTCGCCTCGTGCACCCCGACGTCACGGGCCTGGTCTAGAGGCGCTGCGACTGTCCCGGTGGACTCAGGAGCCCCGAGCAGAGCGGAGGCCGTGGGTGGCCCGGGCTTTCAGGGGCCTCGTGGCAGCGCTGCGTCCTGCACGGCGTGTTGTCGGTCGTCCTGCCGCGCGAGGCCGTCCCGGAACGTCCTCTCGGGAAGCAAACACCCGGGTGGTGGGCAAAGAACCCTCCTTTCAAGAACAGAAAGGCACTTAGCGTTTTCCACTTTATTGGTGTTATTTTGTTGTCTGTGAGAGGGACACCGTCCAAGGCGACCTTGACTCAGAGCTTCCTGCAAGGAAGAGGGTGGTGCTGGGAGCGGCTCTGGAGGGTGCGGGCCCCCCACCGGGACCTGGCGCCTGTCGCTTGTCTGCAGGTGAAATCACTCAGATAATGGAACAAAGCGACCTCTCGGTGCAAGACGCTGCCGTGGACACTCTGTAAGTGGCTTTTGCAGGGAGGGTCACCTTGTGGGTAGGGCCTCCTGGGTGATTTCTGGAGCTCACACGTCCCAGGGCCTCCCTGCTTAACGACGAGCTCATGCTCTGCTGAGATGTGGGTGCGGGGTGCCACTCCCCACGTTGCAACACAGCCCAACACAACCCTCGCCCGTCTTCTGGCTCCAGAATCAAACGGGACCCTGGTGTGGGTCTCCATGCGCGCAGGACTGCCTGCGGGGAGTCGGGCTTCCGTGGTCTGGCACAGCCGCGCTGGTGCTCGCCAGCCGCGCCCGTCCTGCCCCGCCCTGGGGCAGCTCCCCCTCCCTGGGAGGCGGCGGGCTCCGCGGGTCCCTTTACAGTGGGAGCCGCAGGCTGGCTTTCTGTGGTCGGCGGTGCCCCTGACCGATGACGGGGCCCCTGCGGTGCCCTGTGCCCTGGACGCTGTGCAGAGCGCACGGGCCGCTCGGCGGGTCCCGCCAGGGGTGGCACCGGGACTGTGTGTGGCCCTTGTGCGGGAGGCTGGACTGAGGTGTACAGGATACGAGCCCCTCGAGTGCCCGGGGCCGCAGCCTGTGCGCCCGGTCCTGGCGGGGCTCGGGCAGGCGTGCCCCGAGTCAGCCTCTGGGTCCCAGTGCTTGTCCCTCAGGCTGGAGGTTCGGGGCGGCGCCCCGGCAGCAGAGAGCAGCCACTGACTGAGCAGCCGGGCCTGCCCCGCCCCCCGCCTCAAACTGGGGCGCAGACCGCGTTTCTCCTTCAGAGCTCACTCTCACACGGCCACCGCGGGTCAAAACTCCGGAAGTCTGATTTAAGTCCTGTCATTCTTCTCTGCCCGGCGAGGTTTGGGGACCTGGAGGAGGAGGGGGTCCGGCGCCACGACAGCGCCCGCTCCGACGGGTACCTGGCGCACATCTTCAGACACGCGGCCAAGGAGCTGTTCAATGAGGACGTGGGGGAGGTCACCTGCCGCGCCCTCAGGTGCGTGGGGCCGCTGCCTTCCTGCCGGTGTGGTCGGCGCTGTCTTTCAGAGCCGGTGCGCACGCGTGCGTGCGTGCTGGGGGCTGTGCTGTTCTGCCTACAGAGTGTTCACCGGTCAAGATCAAAAGGCCTTTTGTGTGTTTACTCGTAGATTTTTTATTTTGCTGACTCCCAAACATAGGTTAGAAATGATCTTCCAGCCATGAGAGGAGGACATGGCAGAACAGCATCCCTCTCCGTTTTGCAGAAACAAGGACTTCCGGGAGGTCACGCTCGAGAAGAGCGGGGAGGTTCTGCTGCACTTCGCTGCTGCGTATGGCTTTCGCAACCTCCAGAACGTGGTCCTGAAGCTGAAGAAGGGCAGGCTGCCGTTCCACTTCGTGGAGGTCCTCGCCTGCGCCGGGGGTAAGGCTCCCGCCGCGGTCCCGGGGGAAGAGGGCCCCTCCGTGCCCACCCTGCGCCCACCCTGCTTTGAAAGAACGCAGACACTGCCCAGGTCGTCGTGACGTGAGGGCCCCTCCCGTTCCGTCACCCCCACCTCGTGAGAAAAGAGCAGGCACTCAGGTGTCACCTTGAAAATCCCCTTGGTCCAGGGGTCCCAGAGAGGAGGCTCTGCCTGGTGCCACCAGGCAAGAGCCAGCTCGAGTAGAGGCACGTGGGGACTGGGGCTAGCCCTGGGGTGGCTTGAGCAGCCCCCACCCCTGTAGCCAGGTTCTGTCCCTGAGTGACGGGAGGGACCCACATCAGACATGGAGGCCAACAAGGGGGGCTGGGGCGGGGTCCCGTGGAAGGACTCACTAGTGGAGGGGGTGTGGGTGTTGGTGAGGAGGGGAGCCTGTGCCCCCTGATGGTCTGTCCAGGCTCCTGGGTGCTGATGGAGGCGCCTTGCAGAGGGGCCGGGGTGTCCGTGCCCTTCTGAGTGAGGTGCCCACAGGCACCCGGTGGAAGCACCGGCGGGGCAGCTGCAGGTGTGACACCAGCGGGAGGAGAGGGAGCACGGGGGGGGGGGGGCGTAGACAGCAGACGCCGCCAGGATGGTGGCGGGGAAGCCGCGAGCACTCATTGGGGGGCGGGTCCTGGTGGGGGGCAGTGAGGGCAGAGGGGCAAGCGCTGGCCTTGGGGCACCCGGGAGCCTTGGCAGCTTGGCCCCGGGGGCGTGGGGCACGGCTTGAGTGCAGGAGGGGATAAGGGCTGAGGACGCGGAGGCAGTTGGTGAAATGGGATGAGGGGTCCACACAGGGTCTCCAGGGCGGGGGGGCGTCCGGCGCCTGCATGCCGCTCGGGATGGGGCTGGGATGGGGCTGGGCTGTGCCTGCTGATGCCCTGCAGGTAGAGCTTCAGCTGGGAGTTGGGGCTCTGAGGAGAGAGAAGCAGCCCATGCACCGGGAAAGGGGGCAGAGTTCTCTGTGTCAGACCAGAGACGGGGGAGAGGGGCTTGGCTGTGGCAGAAGGTGGCTCCAAATTCTTTCTTTTTTTTATTTTTAAGATTTTATTTATTTATTTTTAGAGAGAGGAGAAGGGAGGGAGAAAGAGAGGGAGAAAAACATCAATGCGTGGTTGCCTCTCATGCGCCCCCTGCTGGGGACCTGGCCCGCAACCCAGGCCTGCGCCCTGACTGGGAATCGAACCGGCGACCCTTTGATTGGCAGACCAGCGCACAATCCACTGAGTCCCACCAGCCAGGGCTTCTTCAAATTCTTTTAAATGAACTTTTATCCTATAAATCGAAACATCACCCAACATGTTTGAGAGCATGTAGTTCAGACAGGTAGGAGGCGTATACTTCATTCAGGGTGTGGGCCCCGGGGTGCAGCCCAGGCAGGGAGCAGCACACGTGCACTCAGCAGACACCAGGCCGGAGCTGCTCGCGAGCAGGTCCTGCGCCCCCTGGCCCTGATACGTTTCCCTGGAAACTGGAAACTCAGATTTGCATGCACAGCCCTCAGTTCTAAAAGGTTGGCGAGTTTTTCTGGTTTTAGGTAAACACACGTCATGGGTCGTGCAAATAGGGAAGAATAGGAAAGCACATGGCTACGAGCCTGTGACCCGGGTTCCTGAGGCCTTTGGGACACGTGTCCAGGGCCCAGCTTGAGGCTCTGGCTCCATGGTGCTGCCCACTGCTGCCGCTGTTCTGCCCCAGGACCACCTTCGTTCTAGGACAAGAGGAGGGAGACTGAGCGCCTGTGTCTTGCAGGGTGCTTAAGCGGCAGGGGCCAAGCCCAGGCGGAGGACGGGCGCGCAGACAGGGCGCTGCTGCGGCAGATGGAAGGCATCTACGCCGCCATCCCGGTGCGGCCCCCGGAGACCAACGCCCACGTGCAGGAGCTGTACCAGGAGTGGCTGGGCGGGGCCGACTCCCCCAGGGTCCAGGAGGCCCTGCACACGGCCTACCAGGGCCCGGGACAGGCCGCCAGCAGCCGGGACATCAAGTGGTAGAGGCGCAGCACACCGGGCCTGCAGGCTGCCTGAGGAGGGGGCGGTGTCAGAGACACCTGAAGAAAAAGCCCAGCTTTTCTTTCTTCGCTTTGGTTTTCAGAATTCCCTGCTTCCCGCCCGTGGACGGCCCCCTCAGTCTGATGGGGGCGCTGTCCCATCATGTGTGTGGTTGGGACAGCGCATCTGGAGAGAAGGGTTGCCCTAATTTATGTATCCTTTTATCCTAAGCTGAGAAAAATCCCAAAGAACAAGAGTGGAGACAGACTACTGTCTTTTAGGCTTAAAAAAAAATCCAAAAGTGTCCTGCGAAAAGCTAAGACCCTGTTCTGGTTCATGTGCCTCAGAAAGATTGGACGTGGAAAGGAAGATGCGGCTGGGGGGCTGCGGGGTCGCCTGGTTTGGACCCCAACTTTGGCCACAATGTGAATAAACTGCCACCTTTTGGAATCGGGGCTCACACACAAATCTGGACGTCCAACTTTTCGTGCAAAGAATCAAAGTTCGGCAGCGCAGGCCGCAGCCCTCCCGGAACCAGGTCCGGCCGTGGGGGTCAGCGGCACTGGAGCTGAAGCCCCACGCGCGCCCTTTCACGTGTGCGATCTGGGCTGCCCGCCCCTTGGGGGGGGGGCGTGTCATGGGTGACAGGCGTCGCAGGGGGAAGGCTAGAGGGGGCGGGGGCCGCCCTGCTCAGCCCCTGCCTGCGTGGGGTCGCGCAGCTGGAGGCCGTCCTGTCCAGCCCGTGGTTGGGTGAGACACCTTAGCTTCCTCGCGTGTCCACCGGTCACACAGCGAGCCTGGCCGCTCCGCCGGGCCCCAGGCGGCCCTCTGCGCGCCGACCGCGCCCTGCCCTGCCCTTCTGCCCGCAGGGCTTGCCTTAAGTGAGAGGGAAGAGGGCCTGCCCGGGGACGGGTAATCAGAAAGGGCTCGCCCCCACCTACAGCACCCGGAGCCCTGTGCCCGTCAGGGCCTGTCCCGTGAAGCGGGACCCGTGCCTGGCCCAGGGCTGGTTGCCCAAAGCACTTGGATTTTGTTAACATGAGGAGGACGGTCTTCTCGAACCCCTCAGCCTGTTAGGTTTCCCTCATCGCTCGGCCATTGTACCTGTACACCCATCTGGGTTGATAAAACTGGGATATTGTGTGAAACTCCATGTTGTTTGCTTCCAATCTATTTACAGTGGGGTCTCATCCTCTGTGGTAACCGACTGTGGAATAAACCGCTGGGAGAGGGCCTGTGTGCGGGGCGTTGCACGAGTGGGTGCCGCTCTCCCAGCCAGGCCGCAGGGGCTCTGCGCCCCCACGTTGCGGGCGTTGCACCCTTGCCCTGAGCTGCGTGAGCCACCGCGGGCCCAGAGCACGAGGGCCACCCTCCCCCGTCGGCCCTAGAGTGGCAGGAGTCAGGTGTGGGCGCGGCTCTGCAAAAGCCGCCTCTTCAGCTACAACAAAGACACGTGCTTCCTGGGTGGCTTCACCGCGCCGTCCACCCGCCCGGGGCCCAGCCGAGGGGCTGGGCGTCAGCTCGTGAGGCTCCTCTTGGGTTGTGACCGTGCGAGAGCAGTGGACTGAGGCCTGCTATTCATGGCCACCCAGGCGACAGCAGAGAGGGAGGGGCAGCCCGGTGGGCAGGCAGGCCGGGGGGACACAACGGGGTGCGGCTGGGCGAGCAGTGTCAGCCCGGGGGCCGCAGTTCCAGACCCACGCCCCACCCGGCTGCCCCTCGACAGGGACGCTGGTGACAGTGCTGGCCCTGCCAGAGCCCGTGGGCCACGACCGGGCCCCGTGGCTGTCGGCCCCGTCAGGGCCCGGGTCTCCCGGCTGCACTGCTGCCTGGCCTGGGAACGGCGGCGCAGAGGCCGGTCCTTCCCCCTCAGCTCGGCCGGAGGGAGGGGAGCCCACCCACTGCCCACGTCAGTTTGATGTGGGTACAGGGCATGGAGCAGGGGCCCGCTCTGTGACGGGGGGTTGCCTGGTCTCACCTGTTCTTGGCCCGAAGCTGAGCAGTCGGGGCTTCCAGACGCGCCCGGTAGGGAGAGCTCGGGATCGTCCACCCTACGTCCAGGCCAGGCGAGGGCACGGCCACCCAACCGGGGCTCCCTCACCTTGGGCCCAGCCTTGCCGGTTACACTCCGCACAGCAGTGGCTTTGCTCTCAGGGAGGAGCAGCAGGTGTAGCATTTGCCTAAAGCAAATTAACCCCCAGCTCGATGTGCAGGGCAGCAGGGGGCAGGTAGCGCTTGGAGAGGCCGGACTTTGCAATGAGGATGGGCCATGTGTTTTGAGGGCAAGGAGAGCAGGTACCAGGACTGAAGTCTTATTTTTAAGCTGAAGTTCAAATGGTATAAACAGAGATCAGCACATGCTGTAACTGAATATCCAAACGTTGGGTTGTACAGGTATCAAAAACATGAAAAAGTGTTTATGCTCCTATGGAAACTTCAGAACCATACATCCGAACATGAAAGGGACAAACGTAAGGAAATCGCCAACGTGCTGGAGGTATGCCCAGCAACTGGGGGCCTCACCAGCGGGGTCCCTGTGAGGATGAGAGTCACAGACACGTGTGTCCTCCTGAGAGCTGAACCCCCATCCCCGCATTCACAGTCCAGAGGGCTGGCCGTCACACCCCGGAGCCTCCCCGGTCCAGGTCACCCCAGGGCCCTGGCCGCAGGGGGAGGGGGAGGGGAACCCAGCGGGAAGCCACTGTCTCCATACAAGACGACTTAAAGTGCAAGTTATAACAAACCCTACTGTTAAGTGGGGGCAGGGGACAAAAGGCACACACAGGTCCCACCGAGACGTGACCTTGGGTCACCGGATTCAGAGTCCGGGGTGCTAACCGTTATACCGTGGGATCCGCTAGTGCTGTGTTCCCCGTGCCTTTTAACACGGACGCGGGCAGGAGTGGGAGGAGATTGGGAAAGGCGGCTTTGTAGCAGAGGATAGTTCCATCCGTCCACCTCCGGGTTATGGGCCCGGCACACCCAGCACGACACTGTGTCACTCTGCCGGCCTTGGCGTGGGGCCTGCGGAGGGCGGGTTCCTGGGGGACTGACAGGGCAGAGCAGATGCTGCTGCTGTGCAAAACTGCTTAAAATTCAAGTGTTAAGAAACCTTGCTTTTCAGGTTTTAACTTGAAAAACTGCACTTTCAAAAAGAAAGAAATGGCTTCCCCAGGAACATTCTGGATATAAATCCTTTGAGGAAACAAATCGTTGACTTCATGTGGCACCTTTTCAGGAAACAAGCGTCCATGGGACTTCCTGCTGCGGACGGCAGGCCGCCTCTCTCTCAAACCGACCGGAGCGCCCGCACAAAGCACCCGACCAAGACGTGTCGGGTCCAGCCGCGAGGATTAGCCGGGCCGCCCGAAGGACGTGACCGCAGGGGGCCGAGCGCGCTGTACTCCCGAGCAGGGTCAGAGGAAGCCAACGCCAGCCGGGGTGCGGAGCGGCCGGAACCCCAGGGCCTGGGCAGTTCCGGACCCCGCGGCACGGCGAGCCGACGGCGTCGGCCCCGCACCGGAGCTGGGGCTTTCCCCGCGGCGCGCGCGGCCCGGGCCAGGCAGGAAACCGCCGCGGGCGTCTCGCTCGCCTCCACCTCTCGTCCCTGCGCCTCTACCGCGAGCGGCCACTCAGCTCTCTGCCCTTCGGCTTCCGAACCCCAGATGCACAGCGGCCGAGGGCGTCGAGGGCGGACCCGAAGCGAGGGCCTGGGCCCAGCCAGCTGCCGGGCGCTCGGTCCCAGCAGGCGCGGCGGGCAGCCCCCGGCTGAACTTCGGGCCAGGCCTGCAGCTGCCACGGGGGTGAGGCTCCCTGAGCCGCGGGCCCGGCTGCACCGTGAGCCTGAGGCTCTGCCGCAGGGACAAAGGACACCGTCTGCGCCCGCGAAGCCGAGGCGCACGCGTGCAGCGGCCCCGGGGGCGGGCGCGGTGGGGGAGCCCTCTGATCAGCACGTTTCATTCACGCCCCAGTGCGGGGCCCCGACAGAACCAGACGGGGCGAGGGGTGCCCAAGAGCCCGGCCGATGGGGCCTACGAGGGACGCCTGCGACCGGGCCAGAATGTGCGGAGGGTCACATTCCACGTGAGAGCGCAGCCAAGATCTCCGTGTGGGAGGGACCCACCGGGGCCGGTCGGGCCCTTTCCCCAGCCACCTGGTGGCGCTGCTTGGCCCGCGGACCGAACGGCCACGGGGCCGGGGAAGGAGGCTGGGCCCCGGCCGGACAACAGACTCCCTGAGCCCCCGCCGAGCCGGACGGGCTGCGGCTCCCCTCCCTCCCTCCCTTAAGTGACCGGCGGCGACCCCAGCGCCGGCTACGGTGCGTGCCGCCCGCGGGGCCCCGGTGCCTAGACCCTCGTCCCCGCCCTGGCGCTATCTGCCTTCTGCGGGGCCCGCCGTCCCGGCAGCCCACGCCACACGGCCGCGGGCTAGCGCGCCCGCCGCACGCCCGGCGACGACAGCGCGCGGTGGGCCGCGCCCGGGAGGCCCAGCTTCTTTCCGTTCCTGGCCCTCTGAGGCCGCCGCCCTGGGAAGGCGCGCCGGAGCCTGCCCCTCGGGCCGGTCTCAGAAGCGTCGCAGCAGCAGAGCAAAGCGCCTGCTCGCGCCCCTCACAGCTCCCGCCAGCAGCGCGGGATGCGGCGCCTCAGCTTCAGGCCACGTCAGACTCGCCGGCAGGGGCCGTTTCGGTCGCCCCGCATCCCCGCCCCTCGGTTCGGGCCGCAGGCCCCGCCACGCGCGCTCGCGAAGAAAGCGGGCGGCGTGAGGGGCGCCGAGACGAGGCGCGCGTGCCTTTGCCTCTTTCAGCACCGACTGAGCGGCTCCGCAGGTGCGAGGCGCCAGCCCGCGGTCGGCGGTCACAGGGGGCGGTCACGTGCTCTCCCATACGTCCTCTGGGCGTCAGCTCGCTGCCGCCCCGCCCCTCGCTGGAGCGCGCTGGTCCGCGCGTGCGCGGCCGGCAGCGTGGGGCGTCGGGGATGAGCAGGCGCGTTCCCGGGAAGGAGCGGGGTAGGCGATGCGGCGGCCTGCGGGGGTCCGCGGTCCGCGGTCCGCGGTCCGCGGGCTGTGCTGGTTTACGCCCCGACTTCGGCAGGGCCGTGTGCGCGCTGCACCTTCGCCTGCCCTGCCTTCCTCGGACGCCGGTCCCGGTGCCCAGGTGCGCAGGTGCGCAGGAGCCGGAGCTCCGACCTCCTCTCCGCGTTCCGCCCCGCGCCCCGCCGCCCCACGCCCGCCGTCCGGCGCAGGGGTCGGGGCCTCCGGCTCCCGCGGTGTGGAGCACCGTTTTTAAAAGAAACTACAGAATTAGATACTACGGTGGATGTTGATTAGACTAAGAAAAGTAATCACAGCAAACAGCGAGTTCTCCAGAGCAGGTCAAGGCCACACACTGCGTACAATTAATAAAATATTTCACTCTTCAACTGCCCAGACACACCTCTAATACACTTTTTCCTAATTTTTGGCATGCAGACTTTGATACAGCAATGACCTGGTAGAACTTTTTATAGAGTGAACAGGGAAATAATTCAGTCTTTGCAGGGCTGATCAAATTTTGTTTTTTATTAATACTTTAGAAAAGATCGGCAGCTTGGCAATCTTTTAGGATCGCTATCAGATTTGGCCAAACCGCTGCTGCAAGAGCTGAAGGATTTCAGGCGCTTCAGGTGTCTGGGTGCAGGTCTGACGTCCGCTGTGGCCTCGAGCTTCGCCCACGGTCCACAGCAGCCTTTCAGGTCAAATTCCGGGGGACATGGGAGCCGCTCTCTGTGCCTGCAATTCACTCGCCCGCCCTCTTGGGTCGCACACATTCTGGTTGTTTCACCGCCCTTTGTGCGCAGGAGCTGCTGTGTGTTCTTGGCACGTGTGTGCTCAGGTGGCCGTGTTGGATGCTGCGGGGAGACTTCACGACTTTCCGGGGTCCTAAAGATACTGACTTGAAAGTCTGTCTGCTGGGAGTGATGTCTGTCTTGTTGAAAACTGAATACAAGCAAAACAACACAGGCAACATTTTTACCCTTGGCCTAGGCTGATGTACATCACCGGGCAGTTTCCCTGTTTTAAAAAATAATTCTTTCCAAATGTTTTGAGAAGCATCCCATGGGTCGGTTGTGTGTTTCTGTCGATTCTCTGTGCCT